CAACATTATTACGCTCTCGGCATCGTGTTCTGGCTAAACACCTAAGTAAGCTCAACCAAAGTAGAACAACTCACCAACGAAATCTTCTACTCAGGTCATCATTATCGCGTTAGTATTGAGGGTTCAAATGAAAATAAATAGAATCTACTAAGTATGGCTCTTAAAAGTGCAGAAGAGCCGACTCCCAATCAGTGCAGTTGTACTTGATTTTCTTGCAAATTAATGCCCAATATCCCAACTTATTTACTACAATCGTATTTTCTGTAGCTCCATTCATGAATGGCAATGAGGTTGCCATTTGCTTTTTTCATTTTTCTCAAAATTGAAACCCTGAAAGTATCAAGTCAAGCTTTTCTAAGTCAGAGAAAGATTTTAAACGCATTAATGAAGGAGAATGCCAACAGTGAATTGAGTAATTTCTTGGAATTGCAAATTAGTAGAGTTTATAATGCATCAAACTTTTCCATTTTTATCATCTCTTTTATCCCCCTTTGCCGCTCAACTAATCTCTTTTGAGTGCAGTGGATAGTTTCATAAGTATTTGAGGTATTCCCGCCTCTCGTTTAAGTCTTTTCTATTTAATTATCGTGACATCTGTCTACCTAGTGTGACTTCCTTTATTCATGCTGAAGGCAATTTTAAGAGGAAAATGTAAAATATAAAAATCAGATGAACCCTTCAAATAAGGCCAGACCACCAGGATCTCGTGCTGATAATCGAGGAGTGTGGGCTAACCATAGCGGTGAAGCCCTGGGTCGGGGCCTGCGTTTATGTGTTGACGCCAAGCTAGATCAAAGAGGTTTGTTGCGAGGGAATATTGTTTTACTTATAATAAATATCTTACAACAGATAGATAACGAAGTAGGTATGACGACCCTAAATTAAGGATGTTTCTGCATTAATCTTGTGATTTTTAATTTAGAGGAAGAAAGCGCATAGTTAACTATCAACGTACCTAAATTTAATATCGCTGCAGTGTGGATTAGACTCTTTTGTCTCTTGCGTTAACTAGCTTGTCGCGGCTAAAGTGGCGCATATCCGATAAAACAACGCGGTCAGACCTATAAACCTGAAGTATTATGTTATCATAACATTATTTGCGGCGACAAATCCGAAATATATTGAAGATTTTCCTCTTTTGAAATAAGAGTATGTTCGTAACCGCTCTAACCATTAATTCTCATATGTTTATGCAGGACTGAGAACACAACAAACCACGCCAACCTTGATGTGATATTAGCCAGAATTTCAACCGATATGAACTCATATGACCAAAAGTTGGTCTAAAAAATTGTTCTTACAAAGTTGCAATGCCTTATAAAGAGTGCCTAGACCGTATATCATAATCTCCTTTTCGTTACTCTTATGCTTGCTTATGATTATTGAAAAAGAAAAATCGGAAAAAAATGGAAAAAATGTATAGTGCTGCTCGGGAGAGCAGCGAACATGCACGGCACTAACCATAATCTTAATATGGAGCTGGAGGGAGGCGAAGCTTCAACAAACGCCTGTTCGTATCCATGGCATGGGAGTTCAGTCAGAGTGTCCAAAGGATCAATAGGAATCAAGAGAAATAATAGGACCTTATTTTCACTTGGTATAGGAATGGCAGATTGAATTATACCTCTTTACCTTAGCTTTTGTCCCTTTTTTTCTTCTTCCAGAAAGAGGTGTAGCCCCGTTTGGACTCCTCTATCCACTAGCTGGCTCTTAATCTTCTGACACGTTTCATTAACGCCTTCAAGGTGGTAGACCATATTACATATCTGGATGCGACAGTTTTAAGAAAAATTGATAGCTCGAATCAATTAGCGAATTCAATAGATGAAAGTCGTCTTCATTAGTCCTTCCGTGTGGGTCAAAGAATAAATTAATAAAACACGACAGACAAAAAAACAAGCCTTAAAACAATGATTCAGAAAAAGAAACGATTCAGCTTCCACTTGAAAAAATTAGTGTTGAACACGTCTACAGAGTGTATCAGCGATTCTTCACGGATTCCGCAGTCATTGGCCAACCGGTTTAATTTAATGTGATTATCAAGATTTCCACGCAACAGTTCGTAGTACAATACGAATCATAAGCGCGTGCTTGCAATTTAGCACACTCCGACGTTCTCGCGACTTCCCCTCTAAAAAATTTGTGCCTTTTACATTACATTCTATCGCTGTTTTTCCTCGCTCGCCTTGCATAACAAGTACGGCTTCCCCCGCAATAATAAGTATCGTTCAACTTAGCCCCATTCTATCGTTGTTTACCTGTTTTACAATATCACACGCTCTTCCCTAGTTTAAGCGTGTTATACGTGTGAAAATATATCAGTTGAAACAAAACTACATGTGCCTGTCCAAATATGCCTGAGAGAGAGATTCAAATCGCGAAAATGGCGGTCACACGAGTCTCGGCTCCGTGCTTTAAGGAACTTTTCATGCTCTTCATTTGTAATTCTCTCACGAGAACCCACTAAATTGGCTTGAATCTCTGCTTAAAAAACATGAGGGATTCCTTTTGATGTGGAAAAGGTTTCTTACGTAAGATAACGGTGTATCATGTACAAGCCCCATGAGCCCGCTTGAAAATCTCTGGTGACATTTGACATCTCTGGTGACAAAGATTTGCTTTTAGATATCAAGACAAGTTCATCCGTCATTGCCAATAAACCTTTTTATTTTCATTTTCAGGACTGTGTATAGCTAGTTGTATATCATTGTCATTTTTTAATTTTTCTTTTAATTACCACTGGTTACTATTTTGTTTCCATGTGTCCCGTTTTTACGTAAAGTGGTATTAATTTTTTCATTCTATATGAGGCTTTAGAGATAAAATTATTACGTATTATCATTTCAAATCTCATCAAAGACTGCTTCCTTTTTTTTGTCCGCGTTTATTTGTATTGCTTATTGTCCGTGTGCGTGCATATCCAAACTATGGCTTTCTGATTACGCAAAGCAACACTTGACGTCATCATTCCGACGGTAAGCTCACGAATTAACTAGTTTTGACAGCCGACTGAAGCAAACTCTAAGCAGAGATTTTCTGAAGCCGTCGATGAAGATATTACCCAAGTCCTTGTATTTCTGTAAGTTGCTCTTGGCTTAACATGTATGTGACTGGACTTTTTTCTATCCTTCAAGGATCAAAGATGTTTTTAGCTTTAGTCGTATAATTCCGTTTCGTTTATAGTTCACGTTCTATTTGATTCACAGATCCTTTACAAGAAGTTAAAGAGCCACCTATTCTTCGAAAATATTTTCAGTAGGCCCAGATTTTACCACTAACGATGGTTGGCCTATTTTGCAAATTTATTCATGCAAGGTGCTACCCTTTGTTTGTTATGAGTGATCTCAGCTCATCTAACAGTAATATATCCCATGGTGCAACAATATGCACAGGAGTCTTAATACTCTTCTTCTGCTCTGACCCGGAAACACCAGCACTGACTGAACTGCTAAAAGTAGGTCAGGATCGGAAACTATAGTGAAAAGCCTAAATAGAGCGAAGAATACATAAATCAAGCCTGCCAAACAAGCTGAAACAAACTGCCCCTCTGCCAAGAAGAAGCGGTCAATCTTCGGGTATAAAACGTGATTTGGTGTAGTTTTGCAAGTCTCGTAGTTTAAAGAATTTAATGAAAAGTGAAATGTCATAGTGGTTGTGTCAGTTATTCTGACAGCCTTCAAAGGAGTCATAAGTAGTTGTAAGAAGTCGTTCCATTGACGTTTTGAAAGCAAACGATCGAATCGTCAGTATTAATAAACTTTTTTTAGCAGTTAACCCTGCCGTCTTTCGAGTATTCGTAAGCAATAGTAAGCTGTCGATGTGTTGAATATGTATTGTCTGTAAAATAAAGAAAATAATAATTATAAATAATACCATTTGAAGCTTTACTCAGAGTTAAAGAGAATTTAATGGGAAAATCTCTCCTTTCCCGTTTAGACGATTGGGTTTGCCGATTGCAGTCAAGTTACCAAATCCCGAAATCTACTGGTGCAGGAGAAATGGGCTAAAGTCCCATGTAAAGACCTAAGACTGCGTTTCTTCCAAAAATCTACTTCCTCACAATTTAAGTTAAACACCGCAGATGTAGATAGGCCATCTGTGGTGTGACGTTTTAGACATTTTTATGAGTGATGATTGATTGCCAACCTTTATTCTTTGATGCTCTGAAGTTTTTACAGAGATTTATCGACTGGAAACAGAAAAACCTTTGAATCACTGGTTTTAAGTATCTTTTTTGGTTCAATTGCTGGTAAATGTTCCCACGTCGTAGTCCAAGGAGAAGAAAAGGACTATTACGATAGCTAGGAAAAGTTTTATCAAACCCACGCAGATGTTTGCAGTTGTCAAACTTTTTAATGAGATTAATATTGCCGTGACAAACCAGTAACAGCCGCAAAATTTAATCACTAAATTTCATGTGCTGCAGCATGAAAACTTTGCTGTACGACACATATTAATCCTTTTTCATAAGATAAATTTACATTGTTCCTTTTACGTAGGCCGGCGACTGGACGGAAGCCATTATTTATTTCTTATATTCTTTCCTATAATCTGAAGTTTGAATATCCTTATTTGGAGATAATGTTGCGCTACTTGTCAAACGATTGTTAAAACCTTATTTGAAAGCTGCTGTGGGGTGGAAAGGGCGGTAAAAATGAAGATAAAGTGATTAATACAAACGTAAACGTGAGAAAGAAAGCAGCTGCAGACATAATCAACCTCGGACAGAGCAGAGATAGATACTGTTCACGTGCGACCCATTATTCTTTATTTCAGACAGACAAATTAACTCTCATAATAGATATATCAGCGAAGTGATTTTTCGCAGAAATCGTACGTGCACGTACCGTAGCTTGCAATTGCACGCATAGTTTAAAATAGTTCACCTCGTGCGTTTCTGGCGATAATATTACATACCTCAAATCCTACAAACTATGCCAATGAATAGGAAGTAGATCGGTAAGAAAAAATACACACTGCCAAAATAAGTTTATTCTAAGCTCGTGTGGTCAGTAAAGCTCGCACGCTAATGTCTTCACTCTATCAATTTAGAGATCAGAGAAACCACAAAGTCCGAGGCATCCCATTTTAGCTCATAACCCGATCAACTGAAGGTTAGTATCCGGCTATTTTAGCAATAGAAAGTTTTGCGTGAACGGAGTCTTTTTTAAGCGGTTGAGTCCTTGAGATTTAAGGGAACAATAAATCTATTTCAAATGAAAAAGGACATTTTATGGTGGTAACTGTGGCAGCCACCTGAACATCGATCTAGCGTTATGAGTTTGTAACCAATGTGCCTCATTGACTGCAGCGGAAATTAGTGAACCACGATAATCGTTTTGGCCGACAGTATGGTCATTAGTTTCTCATCTAAAATTGGAATACTGAGAAACAAAAACTTGATGACACCCACTTGTGAACGATTTTGCACCCTATGGTGGCAAAATCTTCTGAGAATTGGGCTTAAAATCCTGTATGGCTCGCATGATGACCGTTGCTAGAGCATACTTCGAGTAGGAGTTGTGTCGGGGCCGGAACGCCCGGGTTACCACCCGCACTGCTTAGTTAGCGACACGTTTCCATACACAACTGTTCAATGTTCAGGGACAAAGGATTTGTATGTGGGTAAAAAAGCCACCCATCACCTTAAAACAAATCGTTCCGGCCGAAAAAGCGTGGAATAGGAATTTTAAGCTTCCACGGTATTCTCGGCAAAACTTTATTTAAAGACATCGCATTGCTCACATCCCAAACTACCGTGGGAAAATAATACTTTCCGTGCAAGGCTATCCCCGACGATCCGGTGGCATGTTTTACGTTGGTTAACAGGGCTTATCCTTAGAGAAAAATGAAACAAAACCCGGCTCATTTAATTATCAGACATCGGAAACAGGACCATCAGCCACTAGGGAGGTTGCAACTGTAGCAGAGCTGTATATAACCACCATGCACTTCATGTCATTTCTATGCTTTCCTTTAGTTTCCCTTTTGTTTTTCTTGTCTGTTTGTTTTCTCCCCTCGATATTTTTAGCTCATGAGTGTTTTTTTATTATTATTGTCTATCGCTTGTCTCGTTGCTCGTTTTTGTTTTTCGTGGTCTGTTGGAGTCTGTTTATTGGTTTCTTGGTTGGGTTAGTAAACTGCTTATCTGCTTGAACACTCTTCTCTCTTGAGGATGCAAAGGAAATTTCAGTCTTTTTGTGCAATAACTGTAGCTCTGTTCATCAGAGGTGCAAATTTTCAACTAACGCAAGAATCTCTCTTCAGTTACCAAATATGGTCATAAAAGTTAGCTAATTCCACTTCTCGTGCGGAAACACCAAACATGTTGCAACACCTTTAAGATATGTTTAGCAAAGAGTTAGAATATTTTCATCTGAAAAGTTATTTTTCCTCTGGTTCCTTAGAGACAACTGCGAAATGACAGGCGAAAATACAATTGGCACTGGAACTGATGACAATTGTCTCTATTCGAATAAGATAAACCAGGTACACACGGTTTAAGGAAAAAGATGATTCAACTCGCCTGTAACCGTAAATGTTTCAATGAATGTTTTCCATATCATGTACCGTTTCCCGGCATGAAAACAACAGTTACATAGGATCGTAATGTCACATGACTTTTTATCGAAGTAATCAGATTGAAACGAACACAAGGTTTGTGGATATAGTGCTTATCCATAACGTTTGCTTTACCCAGCTAATACCGTCAGAAGTTTATAAAAGCCCTACAAGAAGATCAGAGAAGCGAGTACTTGACTTGCGAAGGTCTTACCTTCTGAAGTGCTCGAAACTTTGGGCCATGTGTTTGAGTGACTAATCTTTTAAACTTTCCTGAGTCAAGACCTTCACGCAATTCACAAAATTCACGATTGAAAGGCCGGGATACTGTTCTCAAGGTGTTCGGCCGTTTATCTAACGTCATGCCTCGTCCTTTACTCTCTAAATTGCATCTACACTTCTAATTGAATAACCATGTACGGTTAAATTCTTGATGAAGCAACTAACAGTTCTGAACCAAAAGGCCTCGCTGAAATTGTGATCCCGTGTTTAAGTGAACATTCACCGGATTTGCATGGTTTTCAACGAGTTAAATGTCTGTTTCAGGCAAGATTTATTCGATTTCCCGACTTATATTTTCTTCAATTAAATAGTAGGCCGTCCTACTAGTAGTTGTAAATTTTCTTTGTTACTCATACATTCTGGCTGACCTTCATAACTCAGAACTAATTAAAAGTTTATCGAAAGAGCGAGTTCCATTTAATCAGTGGAATTATTCTGTGTGAATATTCATCATCCCTGTAAAATGTAGTTATGTGTTTGTGATACACAGACTTAGGAAAAAATCTCACTGTTCCAAATAGGAATATTACTTATGATCCATTGACTCCCACTGCAGAATATGGTAAGGCATGCGCCCAGTCATTTTAACCTAGCAAATTTCTTGACATAGCCGTCTGAATCTGTAGGATTGTTACTTTTGAGAGATAGACCCCTCGAAAGTGACTTAGAAGACATACATGTACCGTGCTTGAGATTTCATGTTCACAGAAGCGTTGTTAACCAGCTGAATAATTTTACAAGGCACTTGCAAGCCTGCACTCAGCCGTGTCAGTTCCATAAAAATCTGTTTGCTCAGTTATTTATCTGTCTGCTAACTGATGATCCTTATCGAACGATTGGGAGAGTACTTCATTTTGGTCTGGGAGATTTTGTGTGCGTTCCTGACTGATACCTTATTAAAACAATGTGTCCGTTAGGAACTCTTCATGTAGAAAACTGAGGCGAAAGCTCTTTGCTACAGCATGGTTGGAATGTCAACCGGCCAAAGAGTATCATATCTAGTGAGCGGTGATCTGGCGTCCAAGAGTGACTGAGCCTTTAATGTATGATTTGCCATCAACAATCAAAGAGGGATTTGAAAGAACTTGAGCTCCGAAATTTGCAGTCCTCAGACAATTTCAAAAGCGTGTAGTCAGCTTAGTTGTTTGTTAAGAAAAAGAGTATACGATGTAGATAGACAGATAATTAAAATGTCTCGAATGTTTCGTCTTAATGCAAAATTGAAAAAAAAAATGTATCACACTCTTAGTGTTTTAAGATATAATTGAATTACGCCGGGTTTTCACAATTCGATAAGTGAATTGTTCACGGCTTTACACATAGGCCTGTATTTAAAACTAATCATAACAATTCCGAGAAAATCAGATTTATCTGTTTCAAGCGGAACTGTTCTCCTGGGGGAGTAGCTTGTCGAAGTCAGACGGACATAGACTTCTCCATAGGTTTCTGTGCTGAGCGCTGATATCGTCCTCAAAGTTGGCACCCATCTTGACGAACAATCTAGCATCAAATATTTCCGCAATTCTGTTTTGGTACATTAGAATTGAAGCTTATCGCGGGGTAATTTTAGTCAAGCACACGGAAAAAGGTTGTCATCAGTTGGAAATCAGTAGAATTATCTGTTATCTTTGTTGCACATCATGCAAATCATTTATTTTTTATTGTTGATTACGCCATAGCACTTTGAAGATACAAATGAAGATGTCCTATCAGACAACTAAATTCTTGTCGTTACCAGTCAAATTCCGTCAACAGATCAACACATGTTCATAATACTTAAACAGCTAAAATAACAGAAATCACGCTGCCAAGTACAGATCAACCAAACGCTGTTTTTATTCGTTTTGTGCACTTACTTTGACCTATTGTTGTCATTATATCATTATATGCTTCCGCTGCTTCACTCTATTCATGACGGCCTTCTCTTCATGTAGTTTACTTTATTTTACTCTAATTTTTCCGGAATATCAAAATGTTCTGAAATGTTCATCTAAGTGTCGTATCGGTTTCTTAAAGTCTAGGATAAAGGACCACAAAATATTGAAAAAAAACTTGTTCGATATACGATACTGTTGAAATAACACCGACCGATGTGTACATGCAGCCGTCGACTTATATTTCTTTAATAGTGTAACAAGCTCATGTTGAATAACACTGTGGCCTCTTCACGGGCGGTTCACAACCCACGTCTTTGAAAAACATGGTACGATTGATAAATAAACAGCTTAATTGAGCGATGAAAGACAACGGATAGGTGTCCATCCTTTTGAACACATATGGCGATAGTTTACAGGATGGGTGCTTTAGGCGAAGATAGAGATTTTTAAAACACATAAATGCTTAACGCTTGCGTTATTGACCAGACTGAATCCCTCTACCATACAAAATTAGGTGGCTAAGGTCTCAGAACAAGTTCTTTAGTTGTCTTCTCTGTCAGTTTACCTGAACTTGATTAATTCTTCAGCCACCAGACTTGTCAACCGCAAGGATTTACTTTATTTTCGTGTGCATGTCGTGAGCGCATAAAAGCTAGACTGTAATCGAATACCTATTGAAATAATGAGTTCCTATTCATGTTAATGCGACACTTATCTAGATTCTTATCAGTATATTAAGCTAATTAAGTGAACGGTGTGAATGGTGTTTGATTTCATGTAGGCCTAGATTGGTTCAACACAGGTCAAGAGGGACGTGTGACTTTACCAGCGTGGAGGATTACTCACCCTTTTTACAGAGCTAAACAGATCTCACGAAAAATGTGAGGAATGTGGTTCTTCAAGAACGGCATTTCCATTAAGAACGAAGTTTGACAAAGACCATCGACGTTGATGAACAATGTCACCTCAGGAAGTTGAGTAATTTCAGGCCTACCCACAAATCCAGATGTGTCGAGTTGGTGCTGCTATCAGATGAAGATCTTTGTTCTCATCACGAAAGGAATGAAATGTTTCTTTGTCTTAAGCAGCTAACCTAATCAAAAGCTTTTCAATACTTTGAATAGATTTCGTCGGCACCTCTGTGCTTTCTTCAGCTCTGATAGGGAATACTCATCAGCGTGGGAAAATAATTTCGCCTTGTCAACAGCCTTTCTCCTCTTAATCGATAACACACACTTTTGTTTGTTACAACGTAAAATAATTAATATTTAAGAAGGACTGCCAGAGATGAGAAGTGAATAAAACTGCATAAGATTTTGAGGTTTTTATTGAGAATTGGAGCAGCAACATAACTAAGAACTTTTCTCTCACTATAATTGCACGTATTGTTGAATGAGAAAGACATAAGTTTACTCCTCCTGTTCAAGGCTATTGTTGGAATGCATACAGCGTTAGGCAAATCCGCCATAAAACTGTCTGATTTGCGCCGGCCGATCTTGTACAATCCTAAAACGAATAAACCGATCAGAGGGAGCAACCTATTTCCGTCAACTATCGAAGCAAACAAACAAAAGTTTAAACAGTGTAAAGTTGTTATCTTTACGAAGGTCATCACCACCGGAATGAATTCATAATTCAAAACTAAACCAATCAAAAACCTAACATTTCCTAGAAATTTAAGATTTCTGGAGACTCTCTTTAAAGGTGCCGTTGTAAACTTTCGATTTATTTCAGGGCAGTTAATGGTCCATAGATTTGATTGCTTGATTTTAGATTGGGTGCCATCATCTTTCATCATATAAGGAGAGGCCTAATCTTGCCTCTCAACTCCGCTTAACACAAACCTTTTACTGAACGAGTGCACGACATCGACTTCGCCTTGTGGGGCTGCGAGCTAGCCTCATACTGCTATCTCTGAGAAGTGTTAATATTCCGAGTCAAGGGTAAAACAAGTTAAACAATAACCTAATATACCCTAGAAAGGTCAATTCACTTCCTAAGACATCAAAACAAATAAACACGGTCATGTTCCTTGATAAGTCAATCTGCCATCTTTTCTGCAGGACAACTTGCTGTCATTGGAATCAGAGTTTCGTAGCTCATGTTTATCTGAACCAACTAGTTGATAAGTTCCGTATGTGCTATGTTGAGTATCAAAGTGAATGGCATATGACTACGCTATTCTGGGATGCGGTCTCGTCCCAGTGCTTTTCCCAATTGACAAAATACCAAGGCTGTCATCAAAGTATTAATTGCTGTTTATTGCCTGTTTGCCAAAGAACTTAGCAGCTTGCGTGAAAAGGGTGCGACAAACGAGAATACACTGTCTGTGAAGTATACAACGAGTCTTAATGGAGTCTTCACCGTCTCTTTCAATGAAGGCAAATGCTTTCTCTATAGCCTCTCTGATGTCCTCTAGAGATGATCGAGGCGATTTTGGTAAGAGCATAAAACGACACAAGTATTTTGACGCACTTATCAGCTAAGTCATCCGTTTTGAGATTCTGACAAAGTGGCGCAAATTTTGAGTGCCTCAGAGAGTTGGTTCGAAGCATTATTTAAGGGTCACAGCTAAATATATGTATTTTTTAATCATTTCATTCTCTAGATCCGAAATTGTCTCCAAAAGACAGAGCGGAGAGTTTTTCTGAAGAAGAAACTACTCAACCACCGCCGGCAAAGAGGATGAAGTCTTCGTCAAGCGAAGAAACCATCGAAGACAAAGAAAGCGGGAATGAGTACGAAAACCCATCTAAGGACGAACTGAGAAACATAACCGTTGAATTGGAAGGAAAAGAGTTATGGGAGAGATTTAGTGAACTTGGAACTGAAATGATCATTACTAAGGCTGGAAGGTGAAGTGCATTGTGAGTCGTCTGTGGCGCGCTGACCTGGAAAAGCCTATGCTTTTTGTGCAGTGCCACCAACTGATCTTTACGCTAACCGCTTGTAAATCGGTGCCGGAAATCAAAGTTGTTAAAAAGATAACAAGCTGTTTTATAAACAGCATCTATGCGTTTGCATAAACATACGTACGGCTCTTTATTGATGCTTCCTACCGTGTAAATTATCACATTCACTCACACAAACCACTGGACTGAAAGTTTTGATTTCTCATCTGATAAGTGATGTTAAGGTGCAACGTCGATGATTTAATTTGCCAGACCCATAACAGAAATAACCACATATTCTGAGTGCGCCCTTAACATCTACTTTCCAAACAATTACTGAGAGTAATTCTCTTTTTCGCAGGCGCATGTTTCCCACATTAAGAATATCTGTGAACGGTGTTAACCCCAAAGCAAACTATATGGTCTTGATGGATATAGTGCCTGTTGATGACAAACGCTACAGATACGCCTATCACCGTTCAACTTGGCTTGTGGCGGGTAAAGCTGATCCACCAGCGCCTGTAAGACTCTACATGCACCCAGATTCGCCTTTTACTGGCGAGCAGTTGTTGAAACAGATCATATCATTTGAAAAAGTTAAACTGACCAACAACGATGGCGACCGTAACGGACATGTAAGTAAACCGTTTTCTTTTTCATTTAGTACTTCAGAAGGAGCTTCTATAATCTCTCCTGGTCTGAGGAATAATTTTATCTCTTTGATTCAACATTCATAGCACCTTAAATCCAAACCACTTTGTACACAATTTGTCTCTCTTCTAGGGCACACAGTTTCAGAACAGCTCACAAAGAGCGGTTCGTACATCAACGAAATATTAGTTCTTGAGCATTCATGGTGCTTCAGCTTCCAAAAACCCATAAAACTTGAAGAAAGTTGACATCCAATTGAAAAATAATTAACTTTTGGGGCCATAAGAAGCTAAGAATCCTACGCAATCGGGGGCATCATTCCAATTTGCAAACTGCTCGTCTTACTTCAAGCTATCCTACGATTTTTGTTCTATATGGCACGTTTAGTGATTTGCCTTGTTTTTGAACATTGCAGCTCATTCTTAATTCTATGCATAAATACCAGCCTCGAGTGCATATTATTCGTAAACGTGACCACACAGCTTCTGTAATTAATCTCAAGTCCGAGGAGATGAAAACCTTCACCTTTCCAGAGACAAATTTCATTGGAGTGACAGCATACCAAAATCAACTGGTGAGTATTTTTTCACGAGCTAACTGTTTCATTAAATATCACATTTTTAATCCTGCGCTATTTGTAGCATTTGGAAAATTATGTAGTACCTAAAGATGTAACAGACAAATTGTGGGAAACTAAAACGTTATTCCCCTGTTTCACGCTTTAATTGAATTATCATTTAATTAGGAAAAACACATGCAACCTCAAGAGCTCATTTGAAGGTTCTTCTTCTCCCTAGCCATGTAGCAACAAATTATGGCTTTTCTGTTGCATAAAATATTTGCGTATTTGTAACTACTATGTGAACGAGTTCTTTCAGAAATGAAAAGGAGATTTTCTGAAGCCAACACAGTTTAAAATTGTTCTCGACGAGATATCATTAATTGTAATTAACAAAAAAAAAACTAAAAAGAACGGTCGATCGTGATCGGAAATATGTCCCAAATATCTAGAATGCACAAAGACGGATGTGGGTAAAAAAAAAAAATACACAATGGCTTTCCTATTAACATCTTGGTCAGTTCCATTGAGCAAGATCCTTTCTTAATAACGTAATTTAAAGCCACTAATGTCCGTCTTTATTTTTCCGCTTCGCAGATCACACGATTAAAAATAGATAGCAATCCATTTGCCAAAGGTTTCCGGGACTCATCACGTCTTATTCCAGTAGAAAGGTGGGTGTCAAAAGTAAGGAAGGTAAATACTCTTTTCACTGCCGTAAGAGTTCAAATTTGGAAAAACGAAAATGAGTATACAAAACATTATCTTAAAACAAACTATGGTTGAAGAAGTAAAGCACTGTTTTTCTATCGACAGTAGTTTTACTTAACACCTTCGTTAAAGTCTTTCCTTGTATTTAACTTTTGCATTTCTTATCCCAGTTAACGCAGCGACTCTGCTCTGTCATAATAGAGTTAGAATCCACCTGAGTGGATAAATCTTGCCGCTATTCGCTGATTCAAAGAACAATGACCAAAGACTAGAAATTGTCGCGCTTAGGGTCCTTTTCAAACTCTTGCATGTAGATATCCATAAACCATGAAAATGATTCCATCTTCAACTTCTTTTATTTTAATTTCAGAGACTGTTTTCACGACGGTCACCCCCCTTCGATGGTTACAGACCCGTTGTATCCGTCTCTTTCCTTTCCGCTAATACCACAGCTTGGGGTTAACAACAGATACCAGCTTCCCAAGATCGGCTGTAGATCTCAAGACAAGGCAACTTTCTTCCAAACAGGTGATTTAAGTTAAAAATCAAGCGGACATGAGTACTGAGGAAAATTTAGAAACCCGACCATATATACCGCAGACATGAATCAAGGAAAGATACCAAAAACTTGCTATTTATCTTTCACAACGCTGCCATTTCTCCCAGTCATTTTAACGAAAATATGCAATATTAAAGCGATGCACCGATATGGGTGGCGTGAATTGATTGGTGAATTAATCGAAGTGAAATCGATTATCTGAGTTTTATTTTCTCACCACAATCTACTTAAATAGGGCGTCTTCTAGGAACTCAGTGATAGACATAAACTAGTCCTACAGGCACTATTCCCAGCAAAACGCGACCACTTTTTTTTTTCAATCTGTGCTTGTCACGACATTCCTTTGTTTTAAGTTTTCGCGAGTTTCATCTACAATGGTTTGTATCTCGCTAAATATAAGGGAATTCACTTTCTGCAATTAATAATGAATTATGCCTTCGAATATATTCTAATGTAAAAATTGCCGAGAAATAGTGGACCTTTTTTCGTGGCAGTTTTGCATGAGAAATTTGAGTTTTGATTTTTCACCACCCAAGGCTATAAAAATGCTAAAGAAGTGTTTCATGATCTCTTCTTGCTCTCATTTTCTCCTTTTCTGGCTATTTTCTTGTCCTTTACGGGTGGCAAATGCTCAAATTTTGCTAAAAAACATACCATCCTTATTATGAATGTTCATCAGTCCTCTCTTACTGTATATGTATAATTTGAATAAATAAATAGTGTCTTACGATCTTTTTTGAAATTTTGAATAGCTTGAAACTTTGGATCGCATTAAATCAGAACCATTTCTCTGCAATATCACGTTGTACATGCTTTAAAGCAGGCTCAATGTTACTTTCGTGACCCAAGGTTTGACGAAATGTCTGTATCATTTGTTTCTTTCCTTTCGTCCTTAACCCTTATTTTATTTTATCAGAATCCTCCAACTCTCTCTCTCTTCCTTTTTTCAAGGGTGTCCACCACCGTCACCAGCTATTCCAAGAGTTCCTTTCACAGGAGTCCTAAGTCCCTTTCACCAGCAAGGTTTGCCCAACTTATTGTCGTCTATTTCTTCACCAAAACCCATGGGAGCGCTGGAAGTACCTCCACTACCACCTTACAGTGTTCACGGGGACTTTGCTGGCTCAACGTTACCCTTCTTTTAAACTAGATGTATGTTACATGCAGTGAGATAATAGAGTCGGAACGACGAGTACATTTCCTCTTTGACTAACAGGATATCTGCATCATGACCATGGCTTGTAAAGCACATTCTGCACCCAATATTTATCATGCTCATTTCGCCAATTTCTTTGGCGACTTGCATCATATTTTGTACAAGCTGGAAAGGCTAAATTGGCCTTTAAAAACTCATTCCCTTTATGATCGAAAGATTTTGCTTGCTTTTAAGCTACTTCGGCTATGTTCGACCATTTTGAATTAGTATGTATTTAAGGGTGAACATATTGATTAAGGACATTTATATACCTTTCCTATGGATATTACACCCACGCACCAACATTCCTTGCCGGTAAACTAAGTTACCAAGTGATGAATTTACTAACTTCAATCGCTTGCGTAAAGATACTGGTAAAGACAATAATTACTCAACTACAATGTCAATAGAACTTGTATTATTGTATATAGTGTTATGTTCCTGGAGTTAAGAATAACCAATCAAATAATATCGTCATTACAGCATTTATTATGAAGATATAGAATTCCTCCCTTTGAGCAGGTTGTGGTAGGTCTCATAGACCCCTTTTCCTTTGAAATAATTTCTTGTTCGATTGTTTTGTAGCAATTTTTTGTTCAAATTTTGTAGCGGATCGGCGAAACTCTATTTAAAAAGGCCAACGATCTTATAAGTGTTAAAAAGGTTGTCCTTCCTTCTTTTTTTAATCATTTTTTACTCTTGGAGAAACTTTATATGTGACCTATTTATTATTTTTATTTGGAATATCCTAGGAAAAGAAATGTGAACAAAACGAATTGTAAAAAATGAAACTTTAACCAATTAGTTATAATGATGCATCTTCATTAAAGTGTTTCAGTTGTATGATATCGATGTCCTTGGTGTTGCTTTAGTCTGTGTGAGATCATCTTTTAAAGTTGAAAAGCAGACAAAGAATGTGTTCCCTTTAGAAAGGCAGTAATTTAGATTTGGGGAAACAATGGGAAAAGGTGAGCAGCACAGACATCGCGATTGAGCTAATTCCTTGATATTCGCGGTTAGTAGAGTGCAAGCATAAGAAAATACCATACAGCGTTTGTTGACTCTGCAGCTTATGAGGGTTAAGGGTTCCTTCAAGGGAAACAATAACGTTCTCAAGTTGACACTATTTGAACATTAAGATCATCATTTCAGTCACGATAGTCAGGCCAGTGTCCGATCGGAAAAGAGCGCATCTGAAAGGTTTTTTTTTTGTATGGTTTTGCCATTTAACAATGGAATACTGTCAGCACCTTTACATCAACACAGTTTGTTATCAAGTGTTGAGTGCTGAACAGTCAGCAAAAGGTAAAGGCCTGTTAGTCGATTGGCTTCACATTTCCCAACTACATTACGTGATGGCCTAAGAGACTCATGGAGCTTCGAGGTCTAAATGAACGTCAGAGCTAGAGAGTCCCTGTGTCACCAGCTCGGCAAAAAAATCTGCTGAATATTCGGACAGATTATCCATTCAATTAATCTGGTAAATTGATCTTAAAATAAGCTGTGAACAGAAGCCAGGAAGATGCGTAGATAACCCCGTGTCACGGGAATAGGCGGCATTGAACTGTCGAAGATGTTACCGACGGATGGAAGCGGCTGAGATGTCCTGATAAGAGAAAAGATGAGGCCATCAATCCGGGTCAACTAAGAACAGATGGTCAGGTATGAAATTACTTCGGTCTTCTTTACTGCTTGTGGACTCATTTTTTATTGAAAAGATGCTTACCTTTCTTTAAACTTTCATTGTAAGACCCAAGTACAGTACCGTGTAACAATGTTTTTGTTCCCAAGAGTCTCCGTGGTGGCTCCTATTTGCGAAGAAAATAGCTTGATACAATCATCAATTTGTTTATTCAATCATCACTTTACGTACTTTTACTTTGTTTTAATATCTACAAATTTTAATTCAATTTTGACAAATAAGGCACAAAACGGCGGCATAAATTCCATTCTTTGATATGCCAAACTCAAACCATTACCCTTTTTTGAGATAGTTTGATCAAAGTTTTAAGGTTATTGAGAGAGATAGCAAAGCGTAAGTCGAACGTTTAAAAAGCAAACGTGGCGGTGATAAACCATCTCCTGCATAATCATATTTTTTTGTTTTTAGATCTACCCCATTTCTTTTGTTACGGTCGAAATCAAACAAATATGCATTAATTTGCAATTTAAGACCTCCAAGAAACTAATACGATAAGCCGATTTTTATAAGTGGAACAGCTTATGTTTGGATCATCAAAAGTAATTTTTTTTTCCAATTTATCTTTTAAATTGAATCCTCGATGAAGGTTCCGCTGGACAATTTGACGACGGTATCAAAATTGACATCGACATCGGAAAATAGAGTTTGATCCGTCAATAAGGCAGTGTTTGACCCAGTATGGAGATATCCATGGGAAATATATCTCTATTGATAATTTAAGGGCATCAGATAAAGCTATTAATACAACTTTTTGTCATTCCCCTATCCCAAAAAGTATAGATAAATCTATATCAGGAGATTGCCTGAGGAAAAGCATTTAGAAAATGTCACCACCCAGTGCCTTATCAGCCTGTAACCCATAGTTAAGGATAGTGTAACTTGCCCAATGACTTCTCCTATATCTTTCTTCTCCATAAAGCAACTGAAACTAAAATATCCTTCAATGTCTCTCACGAAAACGTTCTCGAACAATCATTTATGTCAGTATGCCGAGTCAATAGTCATAACAAAGATAACATTCTCTTTATTAATATTACTCGTTGATTACTCAAATTGATGGTCGATCACCAAACTATATTCCAGACAACAACACAAATGAACTCTGCTTTTTCCATTATTCCATTACCTTCCTATCAGAAAGGCTACGATCACAATTTCAGTGAAATAGTTAGCAGTGTCTGGCAGCGTTCAGTTAAAATGTGAATCGGAAATGCTATTAACTTATCAGTTCTTCGATAACTGGAACACCAGATGTACCTAAACAAGCTATGCATCATGTTGTCAACACTTGGCATTATTCTTTTTCATTAACCTTTTAGGAAACTGTTTCCCTTGATCCTAAATACGACTCACTTTGATAACAGCCTGGCAGTTCCTTCTGTCTCTTCTATCATCCGTTTTCACGCAAACTCCCGATTGGATGTTCGAAAAAGAGAGCCCAAACAGTGAAATTGTGGAAGATAATAGCACTATCTGAGTATGATTATGTTTGTATTTTCCAAAAGATGTTGATAAAGGCGTATACCTTGTTGGGCCCGGCGAATCCCATTGCCTTAATGATCCTAAGGAATTTCCTTCCAAGACTTTTTGAGGTGAGTGAGTGCAAAGCAAGAGTTTGGGCTCCAGATATTTTTCAGCAGAGGAGATAGTTTTATATTAAATTCAATGCAACTGTTGTACCTAAGAGTAAAAAATCAGGAGATGCATATCATTGAAACAATCTCTTAAGTATGTGATAACGAGCGATTGAATGCTTAGCATCATTCTCGGTCTCTTTGCAAATCCTAGTGAAATTACATAACGCGCTAAGGTTTTGCAACCGACTTGACTTTCAAGAAGACAAGGTGCACTTGACAGGAAATTTCTGGACCTTCATGGAAAGTTCTAGGTCTTGTGTTAATTTTTACAATAATAGAAAACCTCCTGCTTTTCAGATGCCAAATTACCTGTTGTGATATTTATTTAAAATTTCATACACCTATTCATTCCTAAAGAGAAACTCATATAAAAATAGCGGTACAATCGTAACTCATCCGTTTATTGTTGCGTCGTTTTCCAACAGTGCAGGTCACCAGAGGTTATGGCAGAGTAAGATAACAAACATCTTGTCAAATTTTCGAGACCCTATTTGGAATGTGCGTGATTGTTGCCCTCTGCGTCACACCAATATTGAATTCAAACGTTCAAAAGGGATGGTTCAATCACAAAACCTACTTTTAAAGGCAATTCTCGCTACCAACCACAAATTATTATTTTCCGGGATGGTATAAATTTTGGTTTATCTAAATCTGACCATTGTTTAAACATCAATGCGTTAGTTTTGATTGGCTTATGAAAGGCATAAGCCGAGATCCAATCAACAGTTACTTTAATAGCTGTTTATGACTTGTTTGTGTGTATCAGTGGTAATATGAAGGGTTTACGGTACTGTGAATAGACCAGGACGCTATGGCAGAGTGCTACGATCCAAGCAATACACAATCAAATCTCTCTTCTAAGGCCACGGCATTTTCAATTGCGTCTTTGATGGCTTCGGATGAAACTGGTACTTCATCTCTGCTGTGTTATTACTGTTTCTATTCATATTAGCCTCAGAGTAAACCATTAGTTTAAAGGCACATCTGGAAGCATATGGCAAAGATGTAGTGACCCGCTCTTTTCTGAACTAGATATATTCATATAATAGGATCTATGGTGTCAAGCCCTTGAAAGTGTTTCAGTTTTCAAATGATGATCCCAAACGAACAATCGATACTAACCTGGCCCTCTTCGCACGGCGATGATATGTTTTCATAACTATCACGGGTGCGATGAGAGGGTGTCATTGCCCTATCAACGAAAATGAACCTACTTCTAGGCTGCTTTCTTACGTATTTAACACGTTGCTATTTGTTGCATTTAGGAGCAGATGAAGCGAAGAGGAAGAAGCCTTGCGCTAACGAAGATGTTCACGTGCAAGGCTCTGCATCTTCAAAGAGGCTCAGATCCTGCGGAGGAATCAATACAGATAGCGTTTCAGATGCGACAACTTCTCTGAATTCAGGAGCCGTTGGAGATGTAGAAACTATTACTGCTACCTTAGAGAGTCGCGATCTATGGGATCGTTTCAACGAATTGGGTACAGAAATGATAATAACAAAGTCCGGAAGGTAGGATTAAGATGTTGTGTTGTTTTAATACTGCTGAGGATTTTTTTTTGATTTTAATATTCCTTCTAATGGCCTGTCAAGTTATAGAGTACTGTTTCGTTTCGATCAATGTCGCTGTTAGGTACTGAAAAATTCTTAAAACACAGTCGCGAGTATGTGTCAGAGATCCGCCACTTGAATGACCGCAGACAATATAACAGTGAAGACAACTGTTTATGCTACCTAGTGTAAGGTTAAGTGATCTCGGAAAATTTATAATGAGGAGAATTACCTCCATTGTGATATGCAGAATTTGCAATTAAATCTGAGTATTTTGCACGCGATAATGCGCTCCAAATGACTCCTTTCTTTCGACTTGAAAAGGCGACCGCAGAGACACACATACTTCACACCATGTTCTGTCTATTGCCTTATTGACAGATATTATAGATAGCATCCGAAATTGCTCACGAACGAAGTAGCTAGTTGCACTTTTAATCAAGAGAGACCCTTTTTTAAGGGAAACTGGAAAAAGTTCATCTGACATAGAACGCAAGTTGCTTTTTGCGTTAGAGGTTTGAGACGACTTATTTTTTGGTCTGTCATGAACCATTGATGACTCGTTTGTGTCAAGAAAGTTTTCAAAGTGTTGGTCAAACTACGGCCATGATGCAGGAGACTTTACGAATAAATTCCACAGTATGAAACTCACAATTTAGATTGTTCGTTATTGTTATTGTTCCTATGATTGTGAAGATCGATTTGTCCGGAATAAACTCTTTCTCTTTAGCTTATTATGCTATGTATTCATGGAGCTAAATATGACACTTCGGTTTCCTTCCCTGATTTCGCTCATCATTGAAATAATTCAGGCTTATCTATAAAACTATAACTTGATTGCAACAAGTGACAAAATAGGAAGCAATCAAATCAGATGAAGTGCATCGAAATTCCAAAATTTCCATCACCTTTTCAATAAAGGGCTACCTTACTCTTTAGGAAATCCTTTCCACTGCTTCACTAAATTCCTCCCTAAAGCTATTCTGGTGATTGAGATCAATGAAGTTGTATCTAATGATTTTTAGTTTCATCTGTGGAAAAGTCCCCTTTACCAAATCACTTGCATATCAAGAAAGAGACCATTTTAGGCAGCCCTGCAATGTAATGTTGAAGAACACTGTTTTCTGGGCGTGAGAGAACGAAGTACAGACCTATAGTACTTTTTCACTAAAATTATGTGCTTATTTTCTAATTCATGCACAACCTATGAAAGCTTCATAACCAGAATTGTTTAACTGGGAAAGGATATTGATAACTTCAATCTTAACAGTATGAACTCTCTATAAGTTGTCTGCTTACTTCTCAGCAGCAACTTGACAATTTTTGCAGTTTGCTCTAAACATTTGACTAACTTGTAAACATGTTTGCCCTTCAGCTCTTGATGATTTTGTTATGAATATCTTGCTCCACTTCTTTCAATAATGATGTCACGTTATTTCGTTTATGTTTATTATCATGAGTAGATGGTTCCATTAATTGTCCTTCTCTTGAAAGAAGCTAACGATAATTTTTACAGAGTAGCTTGCAAAAGAAAACCAATAAATAATGACATAACCATAATTAAACTCATTAAAAAGAAAGAATGAAACTGTTCAAGAGTGCTTTCGCTGACTTAATGTTTTTGCCTTTTAATCACAAAGGAGAATGTTTCCAACCCTAAGAATATCGCTGAACGGTGTTAGCCTTGGGGCAAATTACATGGTCTTGATGGATATAGTGCCTGTTGACGACAAACGTTACAGATACGCCTATCACCGTTCGACCTGGCTTGTGGCGGGAAAAGCTGATCCACCAGCGCCTGTTAGACTCTACATGCACCCAGATTCGCCTTTTACTGGCGAGCAGTTGTTGAAACAGATCATATCGTTTGAAAAAGTGAAATTAACCAACAACACGACTGACCAGAATGGACATGTGAGTAAGAGAGGACTTTATTTATATTCTGAAATATTCATTTTGGATACAGCGAGGCGTTTAGAATGAAAGCAATTGCATGAAAAAAAATTTCCTTTTTTTCGGTTATCTTCATACATAAATGATTTCGTGCAGACACAAGTAGAACAAAGTCGCCGCAACCGGTTGGCGGGGCCTCTATCTCCGCCGGCTTCTACAGCAGATAACGGGCGGCGTTCCAAAAGCGGATAAGATTGAGTGAATAACTTGTTGGATTCTCCGGAGACTTTTAACCAGTTAGCAAACAAAAACACAGATCCATCGAGTTTAAGAAAAGAGATTTACACCGTAGAATTAATATCGAATTGTTCTTTAAGCTACTTTCATTCCAAAAATTGCACCAAACTTCAACATAGCGAAGTTTGGAAATTCATAATCTATCTGTTTGTAAACCAAGATAAACGTGTGCTAAGATTTGTTCGATTTCATAATTTCTTTTAGAGAACTAGGACTATTCCAGTGTTTTGCTGATCAAGTTTTAGTCAAGAAAGGTTATTTTATTTCAATCAACGTCCTTCGAAATAAAATTCTTCGAAGCAGTATCTTCACAGAAACGTTCGATGTGGACGATTATCACGACCACTGGCTGTTCATTGACAGGTTTAACCTTAAGTTAGTTGTATTATGTCTTAAACACTGCCTATCCTTCAACAGATTGTTCTCAACTCCATGCACAAATATCAACCTCGAGTGCACATTGTTAGAAAACGAGACCACACTGCCTCAGTGGTCGATCTTCATTCAAAAGAGGCAAAAACCTTCGATTTTCCTGAGACAAGCTTCATTGCTGTAACAGCGTATCAAAACCAGCTGGTAAGAAGGCATTATTATCTTAACTAATCTTTGCTAGTTTACGAAAATGCCGACTTGACAAACACGACCCCTGCTGTTTGAGAATAAAGACGTTAACAAGATGTTATAAAGATATTCAAAAACTGTTGCTGGTCCACTTTGGCTTCCAGAGTGCTTATTGTATTCAAAAGGGGAAGTTTTTTAACTCCGGTTCAGAACGAAGTGAGAAAAACATGTTTTCTCTAAACGAACCGCCATATATTTCGTCGTGAAAATCTAGCCACTAAACACACCGCTAGGATCACGGTAGATGCCAAAGCTTAAAATAGTTTCAAAAGTCTACACTTAAAATTGTTATTATGAGAATATCTCGGTGGGGGTGAAGGATTTTTTCCTTTTTTTTTTTTAAACCGTTCCATCCACTCATGACTCACCCTCTCCGTAATCTTATTTCGGTTGTGGCTAACAGCTTAACAGCAGGTCTGGGTCGATTTTGAGGTTCTATCTTTGTTACATTCCACACCAGATCAATTAAAAGTGCATTTCTACACTATAAATTTCAGATTACACGTCTCAAAATTGACAGCAACCCCTTTGCAAAAGGTTTTAGGGACTCCATAAGGATTTTGCCAATGCAAAGGTATGTTGACATATCATATATTGTAGGATGAACTATTCCTCTTCTAAAAGGAACAATGGTTTTTAATACTACAAAATATCCTATCCCTAGGAATTTGGACGTGCTTTCATAAGTAGTTTAGCACGTCGGCAGCCTTTAACCTGAAGGAAACAGGTCTACAATATAAAGTAACCTAAATCAAAATACAATTATTCTATGTCAGGTAGTCTTATTTATAGAGAGTTGAAGGAATCGAGGTATAATACTATTATCGAGCAGGAGGAGGAAGGCTAATCAAATTTGAACAAGATTTGTGCTACCGAAAACAGGCTTAACGTGGTTAATATAAGAGGTAGTAATACTTCCTACAGTGTCCATTGTGTGATAATATTTTTATTGTCTTTTTGTTTGTGTTTGTGGTCGTTATTAAAGGAAAATTAAAGCAGCCGCTCACGTTAGCGTGACCTAGGCCCAGATATTTGTTACCAGTGGTGCTTTGCAATTCAGTGATACTGACCATTTCTGAAGTGATTTATATATTTTAATTTCCCAGTTGGCGCAAATGATGGGCCCCCCAAAGCAAATTTATAAAAAAAAGTGATTTTATTAAAAGAAATGAAATAATGAGTTAAACAAAAACAAACTCTCGCAGTTGATTACTTTATCAATCAAAATACCCACTTATAGGAAATGAAGAGCTGCAATTCCCTTAGTATTTACATCTAGACTTTAAAACCAGTGAAAACCTTGTATACCACGATCTAATTTTTGGTGCATCCCTAAAAGGATATCTTGTCTGATCCCTGTGGCAAGGCCATTGTCTGTAAGCCTTTACATATGGGCATGTATTTTGAATACAACGTACTGAATACAAAAAACTGGAGTTTTCCTCCATTGGCGAACCTTAATCAATGCAGGATGATGCTATTGTTGGCCTACTGAGTGTCTATGTGTTAATGAGGTTATCAGACCGGATGCAAATTAACCAAAAAGGTTCCAAAGAAGTGATAACGAATGTTTTTTCAGAAGAAATGCTCAGTCAGAGCCTGCTATTACGCTTTCCGTACGAGTTTAACTTCCCTTCATGGTACTGTTGCCATTTACGAACTGTCTTCCTTCTTCATTTTTAGAGAGTGCCCCCACAGAGCGGCATACCGACAAGGTCATATAAACTCATTATCTGTCCCAGCTACTTATCTACCGAGTCATTTCTTACCTTCGGCTATTCTACAAAGCCATCAAATGGAGCAAAAAGACGCGCATTGCACTGGGTGTTTGGCCAGTCTCAACGAAGGTCAGTGTTTTTGTCTGGACGTTTGGAAACACTCGCTTATTTTCTGAAACGAACTTTGGCGATTGATCCCAGATTAAGGTCTCTACAATCACTGTCGCCAAAGATAACATGTTTAAAGACAAATAAATAAACATAGAGACAGACCGACAACAGAATGACAAGTTTTATAGCTTTGATAGCATAGTTTTACCATTATTAGCCTTTCATTCGGAGCTTATAGTATAATGGTTATTAGATTTGACCAAATCAACACAAAACAATTTCAAACATTTTATTTTGAACCAGTGAGGTGAAATGGAGCCAGAAAACAACTCCGGAAGTAAGGAAAAACGATGGAAATGATAAAATTAAAGTCTTGTTTACCTTTTAATAACTGTACATTTGTAAATCGCTACTTAAAACAGTGACATCTTCTAAATCAGAGGGTTTTCGAAAATGTTAAGAGCAAAGTTGAAAACTCGACATTACTGGAATGATTTTGGTCTCCTATGTCATTAATCTTGAATCTGTCCCAAAGTTTCCTTAATACACGCTGAAATATAATACTGAGCCCACGGTAATGAGGAAAACGCGGTACTAAATATTTCCAATCAGGAAATAACTAAAAACGAAACAATGAGAAATTCTCTCTAGTTTTAAAAGCTATGCAAGCCATTTTTTAAAGACGTCTTGTCATATTAATCCTTAACATGAGTAAGATTCACGTACTTATCGGGTAGAAAGGGAGAAATATACGTGGTTGTCAAATTAAATTATTTGACTGCATGTTAAAGCGGGGGGATGGGGTCAGCGGGAAGAGATAGCCTTTCACGTGATGAAAGTGGAAGCCACTCGGTGATTTAAATCAAGTGTCTAACACGCATCGTTAACAACCTTTAAAAGGTATTAAACAGCAATTTCACCTCTTTAAACTTGAAAACATCGCAAAAATGTGCGGAATATTTACAGGAAAGATTCAGGGGCAAATTCCAACCTCTGGGCATCTTAATTTCAACCACGAAATACAGATAAATCTATTATTTTCCCGAAAATCATAATGCAATTTTCTCATGTCAAGACATCGCATTCACACTACCCAGGGGTTGCCCTTTTTAAATTATCATAAACCCCTCTAGAAAGAGGATTTTAAGCTTAGAGACCACACTCTCTTGCGAATTGACTTAAGAACAGCAGCTTTGCGAAAATCCACGACAACAACCTTAGCAATTATTATTGCGTTGTTTCTGAGATATTCTTAGAGATCTAAAGTCATACTATTAGCCTCCGAAGTTCTCTCATTGATCAAGTTTTCCTTTCTCAATTTATTTTCAACTTTTGGTAATCACTGATGGTCGCGTTATGACGTGGACAAGAATGACCAACTTCTCCTGCTAAGATATCTACGATAAGCTCTTAGATTTACTTGCGTCTCCTAATTACAATAGATATATGTTAATTACTTTATTTGCCTTGCACCCTCCGGCATTGGAATAAATTCCACTTGTTTTGCACGCGGTCTCTTTCTCGTAAAAACTTTAGAAGTTGTAATTAAATAATAAGATTAATAAGTTTTAATCTTTGGTTGAAATAGGATTTGGATTAATATATTATTGAGCCATGTGCCTGTTTTTATAATCATTTTGTAAAAAGAGTTTTTGACAAAATTTAATCTTATATCTTATTAGAGAGCGTCCTTTGTGAAGCATTAATTCTGACTCAGAAGGTTACTCGTTCGTTGGAGTAACCCGGAACATAACACCTCATTTACAACATCATAGCCACTCTAACTATGCTCACTCTTAAGTGTCCTTAACACTTGGTGGGCATGAGACCCTGGACTTTTTTTCGCTCTTTTTCACAGAAAACTAGAAAAGTAAAAAAATGTGCAGATTATATGATAATCCCTGTGAAAAAAAGATCTGTAGGTTATGTAGACGATTGTAACGGATTAAATAAAAGGGGATCATAAAGTAAAGCTAGTTTAATTACATTAAAGGCTGGGGAGAAATTAGATCACGGATATGCAAAAAATGCGTTGTTTGATCATACGAACAACCTCTTAAATGCGCCGATAGTTGCGAGCCAAAGTCGGTACTATCTCAGTCAAACAGTTTTAAAGAGATGCGGTGGTGTTTCTCGATTTTTTTTGACACCGTCAAGAAGCAAGAGCCATTCACACGGAATTTTTAGTTCAACCTATACTTTTTTATTTCGTTGTGGAAAATGGTAGCAGTAGTCTAATTCCACCCACTTAAAAAAGTATGCTTTAAGGACAAAACGGTCATGCATGATATTGCTGATAGAAAAAGCAGAACTTTCTGGTAATATGCGATACTTAGGAAGTCTAAGGTGACATACTCGAGAAAAAGTCCTGGCGAAAAATTTTCTCGTTCATTCCTGACAATAACTTTCTTTGAACCTTTCGATAGGTGTATTTCCCCTAAAAACTGAGTCGCAGAAACTTGTCTCTTTTAGTAGTGACCATCTTTCTTACTAAACGTTTGAAAAACCTGCTTTCATAACTTACAGCCAACTTCTTGTTTTCGATAGTTTTAATGCTCGATTTTGTAAAGAAAGTGTTCCATAAGCTAATTAAAAAAATCCTCATCCTAAAGAAGCTTCTGATAATTTGAAAAGGGCAACTCCTGGGCAGCGTTAATATGATTTCTTGACAGGAGAAAATTGCATTATGACATTCTGGAAAGTGTAAGTGTCATCAAAAATTCTTGATTGAAGTGGCGTTCTAAATATTCGTTAACGTCTATGTCGTGATATCATCACGAATACAAGCACAAAGTTCAATATTGCTCAAAAAAGAAAAAAAAGTAAACAAAAACAAAACAAAGCATAAAAGCCAGCTGAAAGGAAAAATGAACGATGAAAATTTGGAAACGAAGGCTGGTCTCTCTGTTCAAATGTCCTGTAACACCTCTAAGTTAGGTAAAAATGTAAACAATGTACGATTTGATTAGGGCACTTTCACGAATAAACAACTAAAAGTCTATTTCTCTACGTGCCCATAACGTACAACTACATGTAGATCACTTTCTTCGGCAAGAAACTTCTCACTTTTGATGGTTTATATGTCACTTACTGCTACTGACGTGTTTGCAAATTTTTTATTTCCCGCTTTGCTTAGATATGATGGGGATGGCCAGTCATCAATGTTTTGCAAACCACAACCCAGTGGCAGATGGTCAACTCGCAGTCACAGGGATACCAGTTACACCTGGTCCTTACGTTATGGAGTCACAACTTAGACATGTTTCTCCTTGCGTCTCTCCATACTTCAGTAACGCTCCACAGTAGGCACTGGTAAGCGCTAGTGTCATAACTAAAGTCATCGCCACCATCACTAAATAAAACACCCCATGGAAGGACAAACTAACAGCGAAAAATACCGTGTACCGAGCATTCCTGAGAAAATTGTTACAACAGTATTTCTTACCCAAAAAGTATCACTTGAAAATGCAAGGTTGGAGTAAAACCACAAAATGCCGTGTATTAAATGTTCCTTATCAAGAAGGTAAAGAATGTAACGATAACAATCTAACACATACAGGTAAACGTTTAATAAAAGAAAAACAAAATTGCACCGGTGTGAATTTCATGTCGTGGTAACCATAATTCTACAGAGTGAACTCTTCTGAGCCCCTTAATCTACTTAATCAGAACTCGGCTTAAGTTTACAACCTTGGCTTACTTTTAGCGAATAGAAAATTATTTGTGGTGGACATACATTTTCGAGTCAACTGTCAATTTCCTCAGCCGCTAAAACAGTCCAATAAGGGATTGTTTCTTCTGGTGATCTAATCTTCACCACTGTATTACCCTTTTCATGATTGGATACACATGGTAACTCTAAATATCTCAATCTTCGCCAGTGTCTTATAAATTCATCGAAAACACGCTTGAGAATTAAGCGCGGACAGTGTGTCTTTTTTCGTGACATTTATTCCCACCTTTCGTGACTTTTTCCCTATTTTTAATTTCCCCAACTTTTCCCTCGACTATTTCTTCCATTTCCCCCCGTTTTTTCCCGAATATTTTCGTATCTTTTCCCGAGCTTTTTTCCTACCACTTAACCTTACACTATTTTCACTTTTATCCTGTATTCTCTTTTCCGGATTTTTCCTTGTCCTCTTTACTTCGACAGTTTTATGGAGATTTTCCTCGCCTTTGTCCTAATTCTTTTTTTCCACTCTGAAGTACCCCTATCCGGGGATCCCTTTCGTTACAAAGGGCGCCTTGAAATGACAACTGAGTATTTCCCTGTACATGTGTTAAGCCATGTTTTTTCCTCATCCGGTAAAAAACGATTGTACAGAACGTGAGGACCTGATTGAAAGCTTTCTGATCCAGGAATGGATTACAGCGACATCTTTATGGGCTTGATTATTTTCAAAGGTATTTGATTAATTTATTCAGCTGTAGAAATGTTGGAGGTGAATCCATGAAATTGATTTACAAATATTGTAGAATTGTGAAAAAGACGGGAAAAAGGATAAGAAAAACAGTGAAAACAATTTCGGAAACGAAGAAGGGGAAAATTCGGAAAAATTCAAAAAAGATTTGAGGAAAAGCAGAATTATCAAGCATGATAATGAAGTTATTTTTGGTATAGTTTAAATCATACTTTCGTTACGTCCTATATTTTGTACATTCTATATGTCTGATTTCATTATCATATTACATTTGCCGCGAACATCGACGTTTCAGCCAAATAATATCAAAACGCAGCCTGCAACTTTTTGTTTTATTATTCCTTGACATATTCCTCTCAACTATATTGAAAATTTTACGAAAAAAGACGCATTGATGACGCCACCATAAAAATCATATTGTTTCTTAATTGACTAATAGAATTAAACAACTAAATTCTATGTTTGTGAAGGGTCTCTCCAGGAATAAAAACATAAAACACTTAAGACGTGCAACCATGGTAACATGAACATCAGTGGCGCGCTCGGCTACCCTGTGCCTAATTATTTTGGTCACATTTTGAAGTCATCTGTGTGATCTACCGCTTTAAAGACACCGGCAACATAGAATCTGTTTGTTAAATACGTCATATACTATATTAAAACAGTTGCGATCACGAGTCTTAAAAAGAATCATGTATCTTCTTCAATTCACGCGTTACTCGTTTTCAAAAATTGAACCTGAGTTGCTCTGCTTATGTTCGTGGTAGAATGTCCACAGAAATATCTATGCAGGATATTTTTTGCTGATTCTTGATATCAAGACTAATGGGAACTGTTCTCTAAATTGCGGAGCTGAATATTGCTTGGATCAGACCCTCGCAACCTCTTCATTTTTATACCCTCTGCTCTAGAATATCTAATATTTCTTTTACCCGTCATTACTCTTAATTCACAGAAAAATCTTGGAATGAATAAAAAGCAGAGCCATGGATTAACTGCACAATAACAACTTGCCAATAAATGTGCGATGTAAGAAACTGCCATGAAGCTTTTGTTACAATTAGGAACCACCCAAGGTGAAATAAGGTTTATAAAACTTATCACAATTTTCAACGTCCAACAGACGAGAAAGGAAATGATAGTGGCGAATGCCATCCTAAGAAGATTTCGAGTGCAATCCCGTCTCTGTTTCGTTCCTCTTTCACTTCGACACGTCAACATTTTGTCATTCCGAGCGTGGAAAGCGATAACAATGTACAAACCGGAAATAAGAAGCAATGGCAGAATCAACACGGTCGTATATAGAAAGATGCCGTAACGACGATGTGCTAATCTGTCATTGAAAGCTGGTTCCCAGCTCTGTTGACATACTTCAATATCATGACTTTGATTGCCAACAACTCTGACCAGCCGAGAAGTATAAAAATATGGTGAGTGAAACGCTGCGGCCAAGGCCCAAGTTGAAGCGACGAAAATGCGGCACCTCTTGGAGGAGGTAGATCTATAGACAAGAGGATATGCAACTGCAAGGAAGCGCTCAACGGCGATCATGACTAAACTCAGGGTTGAAACAGATAACGACATATCGCTGAGGAAAGTACACATTTTGCAAAGAATTGTGCCTGCAGTTCCGTGAACGAGGAAAGCATTGGACCCGGTGATTTCTGTTTTAATGAAGCGAGGAAGTAAAAAGATCGCCACAAGTAGGTCGGATGCAGCCATGTTAGTAATCAAGAGTAGCCGTTTTTCTTTTATCCTTGCAGAAGCGACGATCAAAAGGAAGTTTCCTATTAGGGACCCTAAAAGAGAGAAAACATGCACTGCGATAGAAACGTGACTGTGACTTATTCCATTACGGCACTGTTCAGAGGACGTCTCGTTGTTTGAACTCAATTCGAGGTGATTAAACGAAGCATTTCCTATGGCTGTCATGACTTCTTGTTGTAAAGCTGTGTCACAACACTCTCATAGGGGTTAGACCAACGAAGAAGCCCCTTCGAGCTAACGCACGCAACAGTGTTTTGCTATTGAGAACTTAGTATATCTTTGTTTGCTTCCTCTGGAAGAAATGTTAATTGTTTTGACGAAAACAGCCTTCTACACCTGTACACATCCGCTCAGTGCTTGCTGTAATATGGTAATATAAGCGCTTATTTACCGTTGGAATTAATATTAACTTTATCACGCAATACGTCAGAAAATTTCTTGCAGCAACCATGAGAATATTACAAATATTACAAATATCCTCGCTTTACAAATAGTGAGTGCGATGCTGATTGAGATATAATAGACTGCGTGTAACTCACAAACTGCCGTATGAAGACAGATGTCGCCGTCGAAATGGTTTGTGTCAATCGTACCTTCTGTAAACTTCAGCTTAAACAGTTTACTCAGTTGTAGGATGACAAACCACGAAATTTCTCTTGAAAACTGTCCTTCAACAAGTTATTTAGAAGTTGGTTGAGAAGATGGATATTTACATGCTTTTTTACTTCAATATTTAACAACTTTGAATCTTTTTTCTAAGTAACCGCGTTGAATAAAGGCACCTGTTTCTAGAAAGTATCCGTGAATATTTGATTAAATGCGTGATCAACTTTTATCTTCTAAATTACAGTTTTCTTCTTGAGTCAGACTAAAAATTAAAAAATATATATTTCCCACATATTTCATAAACAATACAAGAAATAAATCAGTTCAGCATTCTAAAAGAAATTAACAAGTTCTCTTGATTCATATAATTTCAAGTAATTCGATGTCAAATAATTAAAATAATATTTTTTCGGGAAACCTGTTTGACAAGTCGTATCTCCAACTATGAAAGAAATAAGTATCCAAAGACTAATTGAAAATACGTGACTCGCGCACAAAGCCTTTGCATGATGATAGTATACGATAGAGTTGAATGGTGCTCTTCGCTGACGTTACTTGGCTAGTTCAGAAGCGATCATGATGAACAACAAGGTAATATCAATATTCTCTTGTTAGCAAGTACTTTTTATTTTCATGTTGGTGAATAATCGTTCATTATTCGGATAGTTCAAAATCACAACCACCTATCGATCAAAGAAGCCTTCATACGTACATTAATTCATTGTTAAAGACATTGAGTCTATCCACAAAGAAGAGAAAACATGACTTCCTGATCTCCGCAATGTAAAGCTAAGACATTCATACCTAACAACTGTATTTAGTTTAAATCTATGGTGCCTTCATTGGTTGAATTTCAGTTAATGGACGATGCTTTTGAGTATGTACGCCACATTGAACCTAGCTACGAAAGGCAGTTTGGAAAAAATTGATTTGGCGAGGACAAAAGTCGTAAAACAGTTTCCTCATCAGGTAAACAAACAAAAAAATAACTCGTGTTTTGTTGTTTTAAAATGTAAATGTAATCATTGATATATATATGCCACTTTGGTAATTATGGGGATTACTTCCTGCAAGATTTAGGTAAATTACAACTAGCGTGACCACCCAAAAACAACTAAGGTGCTTTTTTTATATTTTTGTTATCACAGGAATGGGCTCCTGGTTATCATTAATTCCGTGATGAAAAATCAGGGTACTTGCCGACATTGAAAAACAAAAACAAAAGAAAAAAAAAAAGAAAAATGTCATTAATTGATGAAAAACAAATTTTCACCATTTTAATGGCGCCACTATTGTATTTGTTGAAAGAACATGCCGGATGAGATGATCGATAGAAGGAGAAACGAGCGTGTGAATTCTGCATAGTCGCGGTGTAATTTAAGATCTGCAGATCTTTACAGTCCATATTTCTCCCATTAGCAGAAACCGCTTTGAATCAATTTCGTAGTCTAAGCAAATTAATTGTAGTGCTCGTGTAGAGTTAAGTCACGATCATATTTTTGTGAAGCCTGAGATAACCGTGGGAATTTTATCATGGTAGGCAACATGATAAATAAAGCTGGTCGCAAAATATATTTGCTCTTCTACGAAATAACGATTTTGCTTGGTATTTTCAAACCTTTCGGGTAACTTTTTCTCTACGATGACACTTAATTAACTCCAAGCAGCTATCCATTAAGTAACCCACTCTTTGAGAATTTTCTGTTACATTATCAACAAATTATTTGCGCGGAGAAAGTTATGTAGATTGGATATCTGTTTGTCTCCGCAGATTGAAAAGGCGCCGACAGATTCTTACACATACCTAAAATTCCGTAACGAAGATTCAATTAATTGCTAAAACTTCTGGTAGCTTCCTCCTTTGACCCGTTTGAGTCAAGCCTCTCAAATTATGAAAAACACCCCACCGGGGAGAAGTAGGGTTATGGTCGACGCAAAGGTATGATAAGCAAAATATGATGCTTCCGCCAAGTATTACGGTCTGTTTAACCAAAAGATCGGCATTCGAAAGATCCACTGACTAGGCAGTTGAGAGTATTCTCAAAATTTGCGGTGTTGAGGTGAAAATACCATACCATACCCAGAAGAAGCAAATTTTACAATTGTGGGTACAGCACTCGTTACCCATATCCTACGGGCGTGTATTTTTCTTTTTTGAGAAGAAAAGTTTTAGTATAATCTGGCAACAATTGTACCAAGGGTTTTGTTCTCTTCAGAGGCAACTCATATAAACGAAACAACAAAATAATTTGCCTTTTCTACATAGTATTATGTGGCACCGTCAGAGATCGCTGCAAGTGCGTGAAATTGAGTTTTTCGACGCTTTTCCTCCGTAAAAAAGGAAACAAAGATAGGAAAAACATGTTTAAATGATTTAACGCTTTATTTTTACCACAGCTGTGTGTTAATCAAAACAGGGAAGTCAGCATCTACTCATTTCCATCATCTGAAACCTCAATTTTCTAGTTCCTGGAGACATTTTCTTGCTGCCATCCAATGCGGATAAAAGACCTATGAAAAAGGAGTTAGCAATATAACAGGGTTACTTCAAAATTTATGTATGGTTAGACGTTAAGGTCTTCTCGGATAAGGACGATAAACCTTTGGGCCCTGTCTCCTGCATATTCTCTGTGCTGGTTAGTAGAGGACGTTACAGAACCCACGCCGTGACTTCTTGAAAAGATTAGGGAGCGTAACTCCTGATATTGTGGTTGTCGTTTGGTCTCGAATCCTAAATTGGGGGTTTCTGCACAAATTTCCTTCAAAAATCTGAAAAAGGCTCAATGCTGTCTGGCGAAAGTCCCCATGCGTCATGAGCAAATGGATATGGCGCAAGAGAATATCATCTGATATAATTGATATTCTCTTGATATGGCGCTAGAAATACTTCATTATTAATAAACAATAGCCCTTATTTGGCGCGAAAATGTGTGCGGATATTTTTCGCGAACATTATCTGTTCCAAGATGCGAACAGTTGTCTGAGAGCGAAGCTCGAGGATAACTGTTAGCCTCGACGGGAACAGGTAATGTCCAAGGACAGAGATACGAGCATATTTTCGCGCCAAATAAAGGCCATTGTGTTTATTATCGATCCTTCAAATATTTTGTAACACGCGTGAAAAAATGTTTACGAACAACCTACTGTTTGCGTGAGATGTTCTCTTTTGAGCGTTGTCTGATACGACTTTACGACCAAGCAAATGTTTCCCTTCTTCCGCAACAGCCATAAAACGCTTCTTCACCTAGAATTAAATTTTAAACGAAGACTTATCGTGGTGGACGTAAGGTTTGAAAATTGGGGAATTTCACCTGGGTAATATTCTCGGATATCATTCAGTTTTAGCTGGGGGATTTTCGGTACAGTAATGCGTTTAGACAGATCGCACGCGAGCAAAAATATTTGAAGGATGATAACCATTATTATCATTCTTTGTTGTTTTTATAATATCGCTGATAGTAGGGAAATGTGGGTGAAACGGAAGGGATGAAAATACTTGGCAAAACTGAACTCATCAGTATATCGCGTCGCCGAGGCCTTGTTTCAAGAACACATATCTCATTACCATGTAGTGAATTGACTAACGGCCCACATTGATTACTTCTGCCTTAATCGGTCACCAGCTCTAGTAAGCTCTATTGAATTCTCACCTATCGTGTCATGTCACAACAGCATGTCATGGATAAAGTGGAGCAGGGATACGGACATTGGCGCCATCCAGGAGGGCAAGGTGTCTGGTTGGAATAACAAGTCGCCATTGGAATGTCTTTACATTCTGTCACCAGCACAAAAACAGTGAAAGTTTGTTTCTCCTTTGAGAGAACAGCTCATGAGTCTTTGCCATTATATAGTGAACATACACTCAGGCGCAGTGACGTTAATGATATTAGGTTTTTGTTTACAAAAAAATGAAAAAAACTATAGTAATACTGTGATGATTTTTGTTCTTCTCACTTTAAGTGCTGTGCAAATGCGGCTAAGTGAGGCCGAAACTGGTTCATTTTTTTCCTGTGCGTGCGCATGTGCAAAAGCTCTCGTTGTCCAGTGGTCTGTTTTTATGTTCAGTGCGTTCCGTTGGGCTGTCAAAGCCAAGTTGTCGTACAGGAATCTCACATAAAACCACACAAGTCAATAATTCATGGTGTTTCAAAAAATAAAAATTAAACAATAACTTTCATCAGTGTTTATATGATTAAGGTTGAAACACCCGTAGCTAAGTAAGCTCTTTGTTAGAAAAGTCTCAAGTTGACTGTTTCCCAACTTTTGTTTCCTTTAATCATAGAGATTATCTGCAAGTTTCACGGCTTACACGGCCAAAATTGAGCCCCTTGCTCATGTCCTACGACTGACCTCTTTATTTCTTTTTCTTTTTTATTCGCTTTCACCATGAAGGTGCGGGACACACAATACAGCAACGCTCTAAACTAAGTGTGCCCTTAAGAGGCACGGTGAGCCTAAGAACACAACGCATTGCCCCGGCCAGATCTCGAACCCGGGCCCCTCGACGCGGAGTTCAGTGCACTGACCATTTGGCCACTGTACCTCCCACTACCATCGAGGCCTTAAATGCGCGCTGTGTGGCTTTTAAAGACCACATAACATCAATTTATCATCACAGCCATGTACTACGTTAAGTATGCAATCCTTGTATCTATACATTAACTACGTGTGTTCGTATCCGAACAACATTTCCTCGATAAACTCTTTACCTGTGGGAGTGCCTATCACGGGTAAGGTCCCGGCCAACAAAAACAGCAACAGAAGTAAATGGAACTTGACATCCATAATTCAGCTTGAAAACGGTGAAACCGAAGATAAATGTAACAATAAAAAGAACACAAAAGGGCTAGATAGAAAAACAAATAAATAAAAATTCAGTGGAAATTCCAACGGATCAGAATCTTCTCAGAATTAGACTTTCTTCAAGCGTGACCCAATTTTATGTCCTCAACTTTTTACGGTTTGATTTAAGTTATTATTTTGTGTGAGTCAGTGCGCATATTTTAGATACTAATGAGACACCTGTTTAAAGCATTCTTATTTGCTAACACGGTTACGTTGGTTACCAAAACAATTGCGCCCTAGAATTGCCTTTTTTTGTAACAATCTTCTTTTGTTTTTTATATGTATCCTCCTCACATTTAAACTTTAAGGTTTGATTTAAATTATTATTTTGTGCGAGTCAACGCGTATATTTTAGATACTAATGGAACACATGTTTACAACATTTTTTTGTTGACACGGTTACGTTGGTTACGAAGACAGTTGCGCCCTAGAAATACTTTCTTTTTGTAACAATATGCTTTTATTTTTTTTTTGTATTCTCCTTACATTCAAATTTTAGAACATCCTTTATAACGTCCCTTTATAATATATGTAGAGAAGAATAATCCGTTTAATAGCCCCATCTTCTCATTCACGCACCTAAGAGAAAATTGCTTGGCAGATGTCGCGAGTCATCATCCCTTGCTTATTGTTTTTACATAATCCAATTTAACCCGTGTTGCAATTGTCATCTAATCGCATTTCAAGACAGGTTTTGATGAATTATCCTTCCTTTGCTGTCCACTGATATCGCATCACTTAGGAGACATGGTTTCAATTAGCTTAGGTCCGTTTGCAATAGTTCCCAGTACCTTAACGGCCCGTAAAGCTGTTTTGCTTTCATTCCAGATAGGGCTTCAAAAGGTTTGAAAATTTCACATTGAAACTATCCGCTAAAGAAACAAATTGGACTGGTTAGGAAACCAGAATAGGCTTCCCTATTCGGTAAATTTTGATTTGAGGTATGGCTTGGTACTCGCTTTGCTTTACATAGTGCGAAGTTAAGGCAGTTTCAGTTTTGCTTTGTAATACCCTCATATCAGTGTCTTATTTTCTATGCTGTTCTCTTTGCATTTCACATAGTACTGACATAGAAATGTAAAAGCGTTCCCTTAAAAGTTAATTCAAGATGACAGAGCATTCAGCCATTGTTAAGGTAGAAAGGGCGTTTGTTTGTTCGTAAAATCGTATCAAAGAACACTTAAAAGAAAACATCCCATGCGTAGAAAAGAGTAAGCTGTTTCAACACATTTTACCCGCGCGTTGCAAAAATGTTTGAAGGATAATAGAGACATTAGCCTCTGTTTGGTGCAAAAATATGCGGCTTGTATATTTGCCCAAGGACAAGGGATTATGAATTGTCTTCCCCAGGAACGCAGGACTCATGGTGTGGTAGTGTAGCTATTCGTGACCGAGATTTCTTCTGCGATCGCAGCAAGAAAATTAGGTCTGGTGATAACTGTGACACTTTTTTACCGTGCCTAAAAGTTGATGTCCTGGAGAATGAATTTTTTCTCCCCAGCAATCTCCTTAGAATTCTTCCTGTCACTAAGATGGCGTGTATAAAATTTAATTTGTTGCTTGTTGATCAAAATGCAGTTGTCGACGGTAAACTCAAAAGTAGACATGCAGACTTCCTGATCATGAATATTTCAGCACTAATACCATTGTTTATCCCTATTTTGTTTTAAAATCTGCACCTGTTTATATTTAAGAGAGGAAGATTCTTCTAACTTCATCTTAATTTATTTTCAATGTTTACAATCCACCACGGAAACTACTTTTAGCTGGTGCAGGGGCCCGTTTCTCGAAAGTTCCGGTAACCGTAAACGGGCCCAAATCAGCATATTTTGAAATAAAAATTCAAAGATTAGAGAAGCGGGTTCTGGCACCCTAACCAGTCCATTTCCTTTCTTTAACCTATAGTTTTATTGTAGAATTTTCAAACCCCTTGAAGGGGAAAAAACACCTTTATAGGCCCATTAAGCTACCGGAACCTCCGAGAGACCGGCCCCCAGCTTCATGAATAACTCAAACTTGATTAGCTTTATGGATGAGTCTTTATTTAAAGAAACACCAAATCCACCATAGACAATGGCTACCTGAAAGCAAGTCTAAACTATGCTCTCTGAAATCATTCAGGGGTTGCAAAACTTTTTCCATAGGCTGCTGCCGATGGTACAATAGGCGGTTTCCCCAGAAAAGGGGCCGTGAGGCGAGACCCAAACACGACAACCCACTAGTAGGCGAAAGAGGCACCGCCGGTAAGCGATTTTCATCAAATCCCCTGATTTATGATATTTTACAGTGCCCCCCGGTGTTCTTGAAAAGAAAAAAAAACTAACCCTTTCCGACTCTGCCGACCAAATCTATGATAACTATCAATTTTTAAAAAATACATGTATTAGTTAATTGTGATCTATTAGCGTGTAAATAATTTATAACACGGGAAATGTGATGTCTAAAATGTAACAAGAAAATGAATGTAAATACGAAGCAACTGTCGCTCATAAGCTTTGTAACCTTCGGTGAAAGTATCAGTGTATTAGAAAGATGGCAGGTTTATTAGCTTTGTACCTTTGTGAGAATTAGTTTCTAGTGATATTATAGTAATGTAAGTGGTGCAAGCATTCTGGGAAATTAGAAACCAGCAACTATTTACCAGCAATGTTCCCCGATTCCCTTTTGAAACGAACAAAAGATACAAACAAATTTTTGCAAAATCAGCAAAAGTAGGACTGAAAGTCATCACGCAAATAGTAATGGAGGTAATTTAGCCTCTAAGGCAAGGCTGTTATTGCAAGCAAGTTGTGCTAGAAAGTAATAAATAAGAAAACATTCCGTTAAAAGGGAGATAAGTAATACCTCTCCTTACAATAGGACGCCAGCCTTAACTTAACAAATTTGAGAAAACATTCTATTTACGCGGTTTCCTATTCAGCTGATCACTACCGAACTCATAAGAGAACAAATTTCTCTAAAGGGCTTAAGCAGGAGGCAGTTTTGAAAAACAATAGAATGGTATTCAATTCCTTTCGTGGTTTCAGTCGCTTTTTGTTTTTCTTCATTCGACTATTTATCAACTAATGCATTCGCTAATGATTCAAACTTGTTGAACTCATCTATCTCGCCATCTTTCATGACCAAAATCATGTCACAGTCTTTGATGGTGTTCAGTCGATGAGCTATGGTGATTACTGTGGAGCCCTTCAGTTTCTCTCGCACTACCCTCCAAATTGTTTTTTCTGTGTCTGGATCCACGTGTGCAGTGGGTTCATCTAGGATGACAATTTTTCTTTTATGCAAAAGAACACGAGCCAAACAAATTAGCTGTCGTTCTCCTAAACTGAAGTTTGCACCATTTTCCAACAGCTGATGATCTAATTTTCCTTCCAAACTTTCGATCACTTCCTTCAGCTGAACATTCTCTAAGGCTTGCCACATTTCTAAATCTTGGAACCCTTCTTCGAGATCGAGATTTTCTCTCAGCGAGCCACTAAAAAGGACAGGACTTTGGCCAAGAACAGATATACATCTCCGAGCCTGTTGAAGGTTGACGTCCTTTATAAGAACGTCATCGATCATTATGACACCATAAGGATCTGGCATGCGTAGGAGAGCTGCCACTAGAGATGACTTCCCGGCTCCCGTTCGTCCTACAACACCAATATTAGTTCCTCCTTCCACATGAAGGTTAAAGTTCTTCAGTACTTGAGGACCCCCTGGATAATACGTCAAAGACACGTCTTGAAATGTGATGTTCCCCTCAAGAGGCCAGTGTTTCGGGGGAAGTTGCTTCACTTGGTACCCAGGCTCGTGGTCAAGTTTGGTGTACGCCATAACCCGTTCAGCAGACGTCATGCAATTCTCTACTTCAGCCATTTTTCTAACAGAAAAATCCATTTGTTCTGCAGACTCGATGACATAAACAAGCCCCAGTGCTGCAAAAGCTATCGATAAAATACAGAATTTATGTCTATCATTATTATTAAAATCACAACTAGCAGCTAGTAGCTGAATTATTATTGCAATACAAGTACATAATGTACATAAATTTAAAATTTTATATCACCAAAAATATAAATCGTACAATAATAAGTTCTAAATATAAACAATTAAAAATATTAATAATAATCCTACCTAGATTTATATTGCTCTTTTGCTGCATAGTGCATTATGAAGGAATTTTAAAACCTTTTGGTTTTGATACCGGGCATAGCAAACCTTCACTTATTCCTTAGTTGTACTGGGAGGCATTATTGCGCGCAGGTAGCAGGTCAGGTATTTTATGTCGGCCATCAATCTCTCTGATCTGATTGAATAGACTTATGCATAATTAGTCTCGCCTATCAAAAAGTGTTTTTGTTAATTGTCAGCCTTTCTCTGGCTGAGGTAGAAATAACAAAAAATAACGACAGTCAGCATTTTGGTTCGCGCCATTTGAACTGAATTCCGGATCGCTAGGAGTGATCAGCCAGCAGTCAGATTACAAAATTGTTTTTCTTCAAAATGGCGGCGCCTGTAATAATATCGTAAGCACATTTAAAGACAACTCTTAGTGATTAGGTTGAACTTAAAATTAGGCACGCAGTAAATTTTTAGATAAAATGGTCTTTTGAGTATAACTTTCCTCACAGTTAACAGACACCTACCAGCATCTTGAGACACCAAGATCGCAGCTAAAGCTACGGCAAGAATAAAAAGAGAGATGAGAAACGTCATGCGAATACCCAGCCATCTCTCGCTCGCCAGCACCATGATGTACGACTGGGTATGAACATCTTGATATCTGAATGAAGAGAGGACACACGTTCTATAAGTATATATGTCATTAGTACATCTTCAACCATTTGAACTCTCTATGCTTGTTTGTTTCTTTGCTTTTGTTTTCTTTTTCTTCACTCCGCTGTTTGAAGTCTGATGCCAGCTTAGAGCCGTAAAAAAATGGCAATGTTTGATTGCTAGTTTCATGGACAGCTCAACAATATCTCCCTATTATACTGAACGACAGTTCAAGATTTGCTATTATCGTTTTCTCTCCCAGTAAATGGCGTTGATACTAGTTGTTATGCGGCTAGGCCAGTTTTCGTAGTATGGCTTCTGCTTGCCGTAATTAATTGTCCGTTTTAAGTCTCTTTCTTTCTCTGTCACGAAAGTCAATGCTGAGCATATTGAGGAAGTCTATGTAGTCCTTAAAGGAATACCATGAATCCAACTCTAACACTTATGTTGATGATTACAATCGCTGCGAAACGTACCTGTAAAGATCTTCCACAAAGTCTCGTTGCCTCCTTCTTGTTCTAATAGTCTCCAGTCCATTGAGAGTCTCCGAAACGTGTGAAAACACAGGGCTACGGTTTATTGACTCTAACCTTTTGAGCTGTCGAGAGGTTTTTAAGCTGTACATGGAGATGTACACAGCAATAATAGCCAGTGGCACAACAATAAGAAGAACCCAAAAATTCGTGAAAGTCGGCATAATGGTTGAGGCAAGAATTAGCAAGGTCAACTGAATAGCTGTGAGGAACGTTTTGGGTAACAGCTCGTCCAAGTACCCCACGTCTTTAGAGAACCGATTGAGGATTCGTCCCACAGGGTTTGAATCAAAAAACAAAACTGGAGCCTGTACGATCGCTGCAACCATCTTATCGTGGAGGCGTTCAGCACATCTTACAGAAGTCCAAAGAAAGGCGTAAGCTCGTATGGAGGAGAAAATGAGAGATCCAAGCACAAGACAGCCATAGAAAATAAAATTCAATTTGTCCTTCTGTTCCTCTTGACTCTTCTTTGTTAAAAATGAGAGCCAAACGTCTGGAGACACTATCATTACTACGAAATAGAAATAAAATAATAAACAAATAAATAGGTATCCAGAAGAGGCGGTGTCATCATCAGTTAATGGCCACGTGGTGAACGGCGCGAGCCAAGAGAAATAATACGGCTATATCTTTTCATACAGCCTTAAAGTTTGGCCCAAGGCAATGCACCTGTAAGCCTTGCTATCTCGGGACGAAGAATCACATTAGTTTCGCATAAAAATATATAAATTCTTCTAATTGGTGAGTTGATTTAAAATAATAACAGCATTCATCATATTCATTTCATGTGGTTATCAATATCGAAGATGATTATGTATCTGAGAATCTTGTTTTCAACATCATTAGAGATTTAAATATTATTACTCTTACAGTGAGAATAAGGGAAAAGACAAATAGTAAATCATATACTTGGCCACGATAACACAAGAACATACCGGCGAAAAATTAGCGCTTGTCAGGTATTAAGACAATCCTAATTTCATTCCTACTTTTGATTGAATACCATCAACTATCAACCTTACCTTGAGCAATGAAAAACAAACAGAAAAGTCCAACGATTGCCAACGCGTGCAATCCACTTCTGAAGTAGTCCCAATAAGTCGTAAGTGTCACGCTTCCGATTGTACGGTCTTCTTTTGATATTTCAAGGTCCTTGACTCGATGTTGTAGAATCATTCCTCTCTCCTTAAACTCTGATTCATTTTCACTCTCTGAATCCAATCTCATATCCGACTTTCTGTCCCTGACGGGTTTTTTGTAACTCGGATTAAGATTTATATCTCGTAAACTATTTTCCTGAACTTCAGAAAAAGTTCCGTTAGCCAACACACGTCCTTTGGACAACACAATAACTCTATCAGCTTCTTTCATGTGTTGTTCCTGATGAGACGTCAACACTCGGATTTTGTCACTTAGTAAGCCTTTTATGCACTTTTGAAAGATATATTGGCTTACTTTCATGTCTACGGCACTCAGAGGGTCATCAAACAAGTACAGATCTGCATCCATGTATACTGCACGTGCTAAGCTTACCCTTGCGCGCTGACCTCCACTCAGAACAGCACCTAGCTCACCTACAACTGTTTGGTCACCGTTAGGAAATAGCCTTACGTCCTCTGTGAGAGAGCATGCTTCCAGTATTCTTGAGTACTTGTCTTGGTTGTACGGTTGACCAAATAAAATGTTTTCTCTTATTGTTCCAGAGAAGACCCACGGTATTTGGGGTACGTAAGCAAGGGACGATGGCCATGTTATTGTTCCTGCTTCAACTGATACCTCGCCTGCGATAGCTGAGAGAAGAGTAGATTTGCCACTACCCACTGGACCCGTGATGACTGTTAAAGTTTGTGAACCCATAGAAAATTCTACATCCTGCAAAATGAAGCCATTATCACGAGTTTTTTCTTTCGATGTCAAAATTAACACTTCCAAGGTGGCTGGCTTTAGGAGAAGTTCTTCATCACTATCAACAGCAGAGGGAGCTTTAACAGTTCTGTCCCGTTGATTTGAAACAGTTCTAGTAAATTTAGATGTACTTCCTCCTGTGTTTAAAGTGCCCTTTATAGAGTGATCATGACACGACCCGGGTAAATCTTCTAAAAGAAGGAAATCCTCTATTCTCTTGAGTGAAAAATAGGCCTCGTATACTCCTAAGAGGCCATAGGGTACGTAAAAGCAGACACTCTGTCTTGCTGCGTTTATAAAAGAGAGAAGCATGAACGCATTAAATGGTGTAAGGGCCTGACCGGTAAGCACTAGAGTTATGATTGACACCAACATCGCCAGCGGCACTGCAGTGTACTCCAAGGCAGCAACAGCTGACAGGGCGACGCTTTTCTTACGGATGATATTTATTTCATCACTGCAAATAGAGGAATAAAGAGATATTTTAAAACCTCATAACAGCAGAACGTTGCATCGTAGGGCATGGCATAACATAGTGTCCTTTATTAAAATTTACTTAAGCCTGTAAGCTATTTCAAACATGCAATGATGTGCGACAAGTACCAGTTACTTTGACCGATTTAACATCAATTATGGTGTGTTCTTTCCTTACCTCCTTACGCTTTTAATCTTCTCTCGGAATTTATCCTCCAACGCTTGTGTTTTGATGGCGCGAATCCCAGAAATAACCTGGTTCAACAATGATATGCGCTTGTCTGAAGACGCTGCTGTCTTCAGGCGTAGTACAGCAAAGACATAGGACAACCCAGTGAAATATGGTACAAGCAAAAACAGGCATGTGACTCCCATAAGAGCTTGCCAACCGATGAAATACACAAGTAATACTACTATAATAGGTACAAGTAGGAAGAAATCCAAAAGAGCACTAATGCCCCAAAGGACGGTATGATCTTCGAGTCGCTGAACATCGTTGGATACGAGGTCAATCACACGGCCCGTTGTAAATTTTAATATCTCAGTCTTGTTGAGACTTAGAATCTGAAACGAAAATATGAATATAAACTTTTTGTTTAGCCAGACGGGCTTGTAGCGGTAATAGGAATGTAAAAATGAAATAAAGAAAGACAGATGACATACTTTTGTAAGGAACGTGGAACTTAAAATCTAATGATTTTTGGATTGTTTACGACTATGGTATAGAGAACTTGTAAGTGACGTAGACTACATACTAGTAAAACTAGTTCACGCCATAGCTCATCCACAAGTTTTCAGTAGCTTAGAGGCGGGTCATCGGATTGCAAAATTCGAGGGTGCAAGGTGCGAATAAGTCCCTACTTCATGCTAGTGACTAATGATAGTGGGAAAGGCAGCGCTCAAAACTTTTTAACTAGGCTAATCCCTGGATAACTTTGGTCCTTTGACAACCCATATATTGTAGTCAATGTCTATAGAACTTTGCAGGTAATTTAGTGTTAACAACTGAGTTGAAAACATGAATTGGCCTCCATAAAGGGTAAAAAAGCTGACGTTTCGAGCGTTAGCCCTTCCTCAGAGCGATTGGAGGAATTGTGGGCTGTGTTCTCTTTAACTAACGATAACTAAATTGCATACCTTTTGGTAAATTAACCCTTTTAGAGCACTGCTGATTCCTATACCGTAAACGTCACATTTATAGGAATGATGATGAACTCCAGACACTCCAATAAAGGCACATATCCCCATAGCCAGTACACAACCATACAGGAGAAGACTTTTCTGAGGCTCGGCTTCCATCAATGAAGAAACAAGGTAGCCAAGAAACAAAGGCCTAAAGAGGCGCCAAAGTAAGGATACTACGTAAAGGAGTAAAATGATCACTGCATCCTTTAAAGAGATCATTTTTATGACACTTTTCCAAAGTTGTGGTCTTTGTTCACTGCCTTTTCTACTAGTTTTCTCTTCTTTCCAGTTTTCTTGAAGGCGATTGGTGAAGAATTCGGTGGAGTGTTCTCTTGAAAGTGGTTCAAAGTCGCTTTCCTCTATTGTGCCTCTACTACCTTTCTTGAAAATATTGTTCATCCATTGGAATAAAAGAAAAGACACGCAGCTGACTCCTTCTAAATCGCCATCGACAGACAGCTTCTGGTATCCAACTGTTTTCATTTCTTTACAACCCTGAAAGTGTTTGAGGTAGAAACGTTTATAGTGAAGCTCGATTAAGCGTTCCTTAAAATTAAAATTAATTGAAACCTGATTTTCCTAATACTGACTTCATCAATAGTTTCAATTAATTAATTCATCAATAGTTTTCAATAGTTCAGTTGAAGAATTAAGGGATAAGCCTCCATTTAAATTTTGGATTTGGTTTGGATAAGTGAAAAAAAGGAATTCGGAGCTCAGGACCAGCTCCAACTTCCTTTCTCCCGATGATTTATTTAGGAAAACGTGAAGACGTCAAATAAATAGTAACTGCCTTCATTACATGATCTATTTTAACAGGACCATCTTTGAAAAATATGTCAAAATAACGAAGCCTTCTATGAAGCGTTCTTAGATCCACGCGTAAAGTGGAAAGACACGAGTGAAGAAATCCAACATCTCTCGTCTTTGTAATCCTTGCCCAACATATTTCAGCAAAGCCTCTTTAAGGTCGGCATTATTTTCCTACAAAGCTTTTCTGAAATCTGACATCGAAATACTAAAAAAACTCTTCTAAAATCACTCAAGACCAAAACAACTTCACAACTTGAGTAAAAGGACACAACGCATGATGGGACATACGATTACGCCCGCACAGTATCATGGTAGTGGTAGCCTTCGGCCACAGCGATATTCACTTTGACTTTTGTTTTGATTTAATGTTGAATTTATTTTTTTTATTTCGACGTAAATTGCCCTTGGCTTTCAGTTTTATTTTGAAATGATTTTTTACTTTGATAATGCAATTACTTTTGTTTTTAAATTTGATTTCTACTTCATTTTACTTTCAATCGATCTTTTTCCTTAGATTTGCACGTGACGTTCCATTTTACTTTTTAAGTTTTGATTTATTTATTCTCTCATTTTTTATTCAATCCTAGAAAAACTGTAAAATTTTGAGTGGCAGCCCTCGGCCAGCATACAAGTAATTCCAAAATGAATTTGTTTTTTAGTGGACAAACTCCCCGAGGTAAAGCATACTATAATATCGCTCGCTCCTGTAAACTATGATTGTTTAGGAGTGTCAAGCTACACAAGTAACACCCTGAATGTGATGAATAACAGCAAAACCAGTCGCTGGTTCGCTTTCATCAGGAGTGCTGCTAATTGTAACTGGTTTTTGGCAGTTACAGAGAAAAGTTTTTGTATAGCCATTCGCCTTTAGGACATTAGAAACATATTTCCTCTCCTCAGCCTTCGAATCAAGTGGAGATGGTAGACAGTCAGCCCTCCTGAGTAAAGTTTTGGCTACAGACTTTTTATGGCAAATAGGGTGGTGAGAATCGAAAGCGAGGTGTCAGTGTGGGTAGGTTTACGATAGACACTTGTCTCTAAATTCCCCTGAACCCCTCTGGACACATTTAAATCAAGAAAGAGCTAATGTCTATCCTTTTCACGCTCAAGGGAACATTAACATATTTTATTCCAAAAAAAAATTGGTTTTTTCGGTGGACAAACTCCCCGTGCTGGAGCAAACTAGAATATGGCTCGCTCGAATGGGCGATGATTGTTGAGAAATGTCTAGCTATTCCAAAATAAATTTGGTTCTACAAACTCCCCAAGCTACAGCATACTATAATATCGCTCGCTCCAATAAACTATGATTGTCTAGAAATTTCAAGATATTCCAAAATGAATTTGGTTTTTTAGTGAACAAACTCCCCGAGCTAAAGCATACTAGAATATTGCTCTCTCGAATGGACTAAGATTGTTTAGAACTGTAAAGCTGTTCCAAAATAGCCTCGAGCTAAAGCATTCTGCAATATCGCTCGCTCTAATGGACTAAATGACCGGCAGTTAGAAAACCGAGAGTTTCAGATTTTTGTATAGAAGTGTCAAGCGATTCCAAAATTAATTTGATGTTTAAGTGGACAAGTTCTCCGAGCTTGTGAGTCCTATAATATCGCTCGATTACCGGGAATTTAGTCACAGTGTATGAAGAAAGCTCTGGAAATTGCATATCTAATTTACATCTCAGTCTGAATCTTTTGATAAAGTTATATGAAATGTTTATCGACTCCCTTGAGCTATTTTCAGCCTCGTCTTCAGAGGCGTGTGAAACGTCTATATACGAAGTTGAGTGTAACAAGTTGAGCGAAGCTTTGAGTTCGGACAACAAATATACTTTCAAAAGTCCTTGCGAGAATTAACGAGTAAATAAATAACAATTAACTAAATAACTGTGAGAAGAAAAGGGAAAATTGGGCAATATTATTCAGTTTCGGAAACTTTTACGATTGAAAGCCCGAAAACAAATTATAATAAATATCTTGTAAAAACGCTTACTTGTTGATCTCGTTAGTATTCGAAGGACTATTCTTCAGGCTGAATTTCGCATTTGAATCATCATTTTGACCTCTAGAATGATCACCTACTTCAACACAACAAAGAAAACAAGATAGAAGATTCTCAAAGTCATTCTGCACTGCCTTAATCAATGCCCATCCTCGCGAATTATATTTCAACAGGCTGATATCAAAATGCAGCAAAGTTATTCCTGAGTTCAAAAGGGGTATCGAATGGTCCCATTCAATGTAAAAGTGCTCGCAAAAATTACACGGGCGTTCACTTGCTCGTGCTGCAAAATTTTTGCAACTGCTCGCATGCTCGCTTTCTCGTTAACACGTGCTTGATTACTCGAAATTTCTACAATTGCTTTGCAGCTATTTTTTATACATATACTAATAATATACATGGAAAAATTACTCAGTTCTGATTGGTTAAGATAAATGCAGTTTTCAGGTAATTCAGTGCAAAAGAGAGTTAATTCAGTGCAGAAGAGGGTTAATTCAGTGCAAAGAAAGAAACAAATCAGACAGTCTGATTGGTCAATAATCAAAGAAACTCACAGATAGCTAATCAAATGCTAGCCTTGGATGTCGCAACAAAATTTGAAAATTTGAAAATTTGCGATTCAACGCCGAAATTAAAAACAAACATGGTTAAACCTCGGGGTAAAATTTCCGCACAGCCCCATACGACATTATGCATTCAGTTCTTGAATAGAGAAAACAGTGACAAAAACAATACATTTCCATTGGGAAAACAGATTTGTTTTACAATAGTATGGGGCTGTGCGGAAACTTTACCAACCTCGGAAACGACGATTCCATTTCATCAAAAGTGATTCGGACACAGACTGAACAATTCCTTGAACTGTTTAGCCGGACTTTGAACTTTTTTGCACCTTAAAGATGCGAAGATATTGCATATTATTGTTTTGATCGTACGCGGTTGTTTTGACCGAACGGACGGTTTGAATAAATTATTTTTTGCACTTGATGCGCGCGCTCTGCTCATGTTTAATTATGATAGACCATCTCGTATTTTTCCATGTATGTTATTATTTTGTTAGTCTTTGAAAAAATTTACTCGTGCTTATTTATTCCAAATTGCACTCGAAATCATGTGATTACCTATACAAACGATAAATCAGTTATGATATGGTTAAAACAAAAAGGTTGGAACATCCTTACCTCTGTCTACAGTCTTTCTTCAACATTTCAGCCTGTAACTTTTCCCCCAGTAGATTCACTTTCACTGCTTGAAGCTAGCCTTACAATTGTTGTTTCTTTGACCAGTTTAGTATTTTACCCAATGACTTAAACTTTCTTTCGCTTGAACAAGAAAACGTGACTATGACACAGTCTGTCTACCAGAAAAATTCTGACACCGAATGCAAATATAGCGGACCTCTCGGACGGCCTGGGACTGGTAGTGTGAAAGCGAGGCTAATCAGTCCTTGACGGTGGAGCAGAGGGGTGTTTCACTTCGCATGCACCAGTAGAATTTTTGTTTGTTGAGAGTAACCGCTGGCATGCGCCTGCACCGTGCGTACGTATTTGTTTCCCGCCAGTTTTCGAATAGATGCGGTAGTAGTGGAGCACGAAATACAACGGCTCGTCCATTTGTGTTGATTGTAATCCTTGTGATTTTTTCCTCAATGTTACTTGGCTGGAAGCGCGAAAAAATCGAAAAATGGTTGCCGTGGTACGCGGGAGAAGGTCCCAGCCGCGTTATTTTCAAAAGGCAAAAATTTATGAAAAAGAATTCAAGTGTTGTTTTGGGATGGGAGGAAGAGCGATCAATGCGGAGGACGTATTTGTGAAGGATGTAGAAGGGCTGTAAAAAACCTTAGGTGAACTGGAAATTCCTTTCTGCATGTTAGTGCTATCTCAAGTTATCATTGAACATTTGAAGTACCCACTTAGGCAAAAATTAATATTCAACAAAAATTTCTTTTTTGTTCAAAAGTTTGTTGACATGAATCGCAACCAACGGGGACGAATACCTAAACACAAAGATCAATGTTGAGTAAAGAAAAGTCACATAGCAGTAGTACTTGAGAAATGGTAGTTGTATCCAGGGAGAGTTTATTAGAAATGGAGGAAAAATTACAAATTTTATCCGAGAGTAAGTAAACTTTTTTCAATCATTTGTCTTAGAAATATCAGATTTGGAAGCTGAAAATTAGCAATAGTAGACACTTGTAAATATACTTTGAAAAAAAGGAAAGCATCTTCGTATAAGTTTATGATGTGACGAATTTCATTTAAAATTGAATACTTTATATGGACCAAACTACCCTTGAACCAAAACATATAAGAATCGGACCATTTGTAGAGGAATAGGTGCAAAGGCATCCTCAGCTTCTGAATGGAATGTCTGAAAGAATGAGGAAATGCGAATTAGAACCAGTAAAACTTTTGGGCTTCCTGTTGAAATGTAAATTACTGAATAAAGATTGCTGGCCAATTCCACCACTAACCCCCATTGGTTAATAAATCAATTATTTCCGAATAAAAAGTTTATTGATGTGAATCAAAGAGATATGCACTTGGCAACTTTATTTTTCAACCTTTTTAAATAACAAGCATTCTGTAACAATCTAATGATCTGACGAGACTCTTATTACAGGCAATAAAAAAAGCTTGTACACCTGATAGTATCATTCAGAATGGAAGTCAAACTTGTTTCCATAGCCTGTATCCCCAAGGAACAAGACTGAACAAAATTAGATGACTTTATCGAAATAACGAGGAGAGTTTTGTTAACCTTGCTATGATATCATACATTTTGGCAGAAATAGTAATGAAACTTGTTTTCGAGAACTACTATGAGGCTTTTACATCATGAACCCCTAATTACAATGACTTGCAACAATATGAAATTGAGATTTCAGTTGAATGCAAATTTTATTTCCCACCCAATGTAGGATGTGACATGACAGAGGAAATAGCATTGGTCAAGAAAAAGATTTATGACATAGTAGTTAAGAAGGCAGAAACAGTGTATGATCCAGACAGTTTTAGAGAGTTTTTCATATCAACAGGTGCAACAGAATAATTTGACACTATTCTGGATTCAGTCAAGGGTTTTTTCATTAATTTACAATTTGTGCTACTGCCTCAGTCAAACATGCAATCCTCTTCATATGGACCATGCTCTTCATCTCAGGAGTAATCTGATAAATCAAGAGAGCACTGAAACAGAACATATCATGGGGTATACATGTTCCAAAAGAACTTTAAACAATGTCATGCACAAAATGTCACAGTCTCATCTCAAATCTTTTGAAGATTTTATAACCACAGCTACAGATTGCAAATGGCTAATAGTGTTAATAATTGATGATTTCAAAGCCATTCACACTAAAAGAAGGCCACAAGAGGAAAAATTGTCAGAGGCAAAGACAATGTATACCATAGTTGTTGAAGTTTTTAAAGATATTCAAGCTGTACCTGTAATGCATGCCCTTTGTATACATGACCAAAATGGTATAGACATTGAATCATGCATACAACTAAGTACTGCTGCATTGTCCATGCAGGGCATCAGTGAGAGTTATGCTTCTCTGATGCCTGACTGGCTCACAAAGGTTTTTTTTAATCCTGAAATTGAGAGACAGAATGAATCAACATTCATCAATACTGTGACAGTGAAAATGTACGAACGAAGTGCAAAATGGATGATTGCACCCATAAGGTCTTGTAGAATTGAGACTGAAGTCAAATGGGGACTTTGAAATTGCCTATGATGTGGCAATGCACACTAGCTTGACTGCCTATTTAAAGAAATTTATTGTTTTTCAGCCTGGGGATTGGCCATGCCAATTTTATGGCAGACAAATCATATACAAATCACTTAAGAAGTTTGTCAGCTCTCATCCAGGATTTTCAGATGCTTCTCTGCAACAGGACAATATTTTAACTGATTATTCCTTGTATTCTTTTCCAATGACATCTGGTACTACTGACAATCTCTTGAACAATAGCTTGCCACAGGCAACATCACAGTCATCTATTCTGTCAATATTACCAACTATTGGGCCACTTCACATTTCCTTAAACAGTAGAGAACATATTGTTCAATCCTATCATCTGTTTTTCAAGGCAGTATATGAAACAATTTTCCCAAGAAGCAAATTGGCAGATAACCCCAAACCCTAGAGAATTAGTCTGATTCTTGATATTGTGTATAGTGGTTGGACACTTATCCACTGCTCTGTGATGGCAAAGTTCTCTCAGTTCAAAGATGCAGAGTATGGGACCCTATTCACTTTACTAGGCAGCTATATACCTTTGGTTTTGTTGATATATAGCATTTCTTTCAAACTTAACAATTACTCTGAGTATTTTAGCACAATGATCAGGATTTGGATCATGTTTACTTGCCTCCAATGCCAGCACTATAACATAGCACCACTTGTTTGGATCAACATGTGCTCTCACTGGGGAAAACATGCTCCACAACTGTATAATCTACTAAGGAATTACATTGCCTTTTCTATGAATATCCTGTGGAAAACACCCACAGCATACTCTGTTCACAGATAAATGGTTCTGATACTGCTGATGAACTTAGAAAGAAAGCATTTTCCAGTCAAAGGATAAACAGTTACACTACAGGTCATTTTTCACCACACCTAAGCAGTTTTCGTTCTCACACAACCAGCTAGGCTTACTAAAAGTGAGATGTACTCAAGCACTGTCCTCCATGTTTATAAAAATCTCTCGGAGTCTAGGACAGAGTCTATTCTCCTTGAAACAACAGCTGCAACACAAATGTTCCAACTCATGTCACACTGCCAACAATGTCCCCCAACAAAAATATGAAGATGACTGTTTTATCTTTAGGGTATCACTGTGCTATCAAGCCTGATCAAACAAAAAAAATGTGATTTACCTCTGTGTAACATTTCCAGCCAGGATGAGAATTGGACCCTCCTGCCTGGTTGTTTTCACTTACTCCATGATGTTTGCCTCAGTGAATCAACTTCACGTCCATTGTGTAAGGTGTTTCTATAAAAAAAAAAGTAAAAGAGCTTGGTAAGACAGCTAAAAAAGCCATTCTACATTCGGCATCTAACATGAGCTGAAAACTGAATCCCAAACTAATCACAGATTACTATGTTTACTAATGTCATGATAAAAGGAAATCAGTTATATGACTCTTTCAACCTACCAGTTCAGCAACCAAATTTGGAAGTCAGTCAAGTCCTTCAGCATGGATAAAATGATAAACATTTGAAGAAACTTGAAATCATTTCAGACCTGGGTTTCTTTACTATGAGAGACCTTGAAGAGCACCTCATGCAACACCATCATATGCATCCATCATTTGCAGCTGTATTGATTGTGCCACCAGACAAGTCAGTGGTACTTTGTTTTTATCAAACAAGTATTTGTCTTTTTGAAAGCCACACACATGTGAGGAAGTGTGAGGAAGAGTCCACGCATTTTTTTGGGGTAATTGGACTAGTTTGACCGAAAGCCAAATAAATAAACAATTAACTGACAGTAGTGAGGGATTTGGGGCGAGTGAGATAAATAAGTTCTATCGAAGTTTTTCCTCCATTTAGTACCTGAAGCCCAAAAAGGATTTTGGAAAAATTCCTACTAAAACTCAGGAAAAATAAGCTTAAGCCGGAGTTGATGAAAACCAAACTATAACCTGTGATAAGACACATGCGTACCTACCATGTTCAACAGACTTGAAGAGCAAAAGGGCCAAAGAAAGTTGTGAGCCATGACTTGGAAAATCCACCTCCCGAAAACGAATTCGCCGAAGGTTGTAGTAAGAGCAACTCAATCCTGAAGCTGGAAGATTTTTTAAAGCCTTGTGTCCAATGTGACTACAAAGAGAAAGAAAAGACGATGTTATCTGAAGTGATTTGAAGCTTGGGGGCCACCTCGAACTTAACGCAATTTTATTTCAAAGTTGAAGTAAAATAAGATCACGTTCTAAATTAACTTCTGTCATCGGATCAAATATCTCACCATCCTCTTCACATACAACTTTGTGATTTTTACAAGTAAACCATCAACATCTTTAGCTAACCTTCAAGGTTTGCCATCAGTCATCTGCACATCTTGATCTTCAGTAAACCAAATCTCAAACTTCAAGTTTTTGGGCTTTTTTCGCGTTTTGTTCGCACTTTGAACATTGAAATATCCTCATCCGAGGGGCCAGAAAACACCACGAGTATCCACAAAGTTAGAAATATTGGTAAACTTGTCATTCTCTTGCATCCCTCTCCAAAAAATATTACAAAAAGGTGTCGATCGCCTCGTTGAAAACCCGCAGAAGCGCGCTGAGAATATGACGCCGCACGCGCCGAACAAAATTCTACTGGCGCATGCGCAACAAAATGCCCCTCTGTTGTGTGGTGGCTTTTCCCTGATTGTTTTTATTGTCACGTATGGCTTCATGTGCCTTGTCAGAGGACGATATTCCCGGCGCTTCCCTGGCTGGAAGAGAACCTGCGACTTTGAAAAACGAAGAACTCCGGTTCTGTTTGAAACGTCGCGGAGTTTCGTTGAAGGGTTTGAAAACCAAGGCGTCACTAGTAAAGAGGTAAGGCATCATTTCGTATCAGTGCACTTCGCAGACTTCGCACGTGTGCGGTTCTCATCTGGCTTGAATTCGATGCAAAAATTATTCGGAACTAAAGAAAATCCTTTTCCTTCAATAAATGGTTGAAGAGAATAGAAAGTCTCTCCGTGATCAGAAGATTGTCGATACATGGTCCGAACAGGATTGACACGAAAAGGAAACAATAGAACAAGGCGACGTCAGCAAAGACATCAACCCGAGTGTTTACGGTGAATCACAACCGAAGTATCCGTCAGATGGCTGGTCTGTCGATCTCACCAGAATGCCTTTCTTCACTCGCGCAGAAGTAAATGAACATATATCAAAGTCAGGGAAATATATTGACTCCGACATCAGCGCCCACTCTGTTCCAACGAGTGTTAGAAAAGCAACTACATTTCTTCAAGACGAATACTTGAAAGAAATCGTGGCAGCAAGTGACGACAGTTATTTTTATTTCAAGTCGGAATGTCACCACAGTTTCAAAAAGAATGATCCACTTCATAACTTAAAAGGAACTCTGTGCATTGTAAGTGGTAAGGTAGAACATGCACACTGTACCTGTGTTGACGGTGCAATTAGTGTTAGCCTTCATGATGAAAGTCTGAAGTTCACCTTGCATCAATGCAAGAGTATCAGTGACGTAGACAGTGAAGATGACGTACAGCCAAAACAGGCTTGCACATCAATGTTGCAACAATGGCATTGAAAGGATAGAGGGAACACCATAGTTCTACAACCAGCTATGGAGGTTGTGGTTCACAAAACTCATAAGGACTTAGACAGATCTTCATCAAGAGAACCTGGGGTGAGGTGTCTATTATACGAAGCCAGGACAATTCAAAGCATCAAGGGTCAAAGAGCAGATGAGCACAAGTTGTTGGCAAGGTTGCAAGCAGCAAATCCTAAAGCGGCTTCATCACAGATAATGGATCCTAGTTCTGAAAGTACACAATTATTAGAAACCAAATTTGGCAAAAGCCCTCAAGGTGGTTATGCAAGTTATCAGCTATCCACTACTGCAGATAATTTTAGAGAGTATTGCAACATTTTATCAGTACCCAAGGTTGGCCCAGACCACACTTACAATGAGCCAATTATTGTTTTTCCTAGATTCCCTCTCAACCGTACATCAACATAGCAGTTCATTGAGCCAAATTGGAGTATCAGAGGTAGAGGTAAACTTCTGGGAAAGGCTTTAGGTCGATGAAGACAAAATCAGTGAAATTGAAAAGAAAACTGGAAGGCAATTTAGAGTCACAGCTTCAAACTTTGGCTCAGGTCTAGTAGTGAGTCTGGATGCACCATGTTTGGGTGCCTCATGGAAAAGTTATTGATATTGGCTGCTCATCCCCCTTTGGCCTTTTAGAGGTCAAGTGTCCCAAAACAAAATTCCTTGTTACCTCACTAGATGCATGTTCAGAGAGCAGTTTTTTTCTGGAGAATGTCAGTGATGAACCCAAACTGAAGTGCAATCACAATTACTATGCTCAAGTGCAGGGACTGATGAGGGTCACTGGTATTAGATGATGTGACTTTGTAGTTCAAACAAACAAAGGACTGAGCATCGAATGTATTCCATTCAATGACCAACACTGGAACATCTTAAAGGGTACACTGAAGTCTTATTATGTAACACATTTTCTTGCCAAGGCAGCTAGAGAGCCTTGAATTCTTGGCTAGGCATTTACAAATGGAAGATAATACTTCAGTCACTTACTGAGACATGTGCAAAGTAAAGCGTAATGCCTTTCATAATTTGGGTATTTGTCAAAGATTGCATTAAAATTTTCACAAAATTTGAAAAATTTACTCAACAATTAAACTGAGTTGTGTTCATGAGAGTGGAAGTGATTACATATTTCCAAGACTTCCATGTGAGTTATCAAAGATTCTTTTTTGGATCCTATTTACATGTTCATACTTTGCAGCTTTGAGTGAGATCATAACATCTGAATAATGATTCACAATAATGCAAGATGCATTTTATACTGAGAACACTTTTAAAATATAAGGAAACTTATTTCAGCCTTTGATAAAATAATAGATATTTATATTACCATTGTAACTACAAATACGACCAAATTACATCAATTCTCTCTATTAGTTGTAAAGAAATGTAGGGTGAATTTTGTTTAGTTGGTTCTGTGACTTAATAGAATGAATTGAAAAATTGCAGTATTCTTTCTTATCATCTCATTTTTGAACCCTGGAAAGCCATCTAACAGTTGACTGCCATTGGTAGAAAACAATGATTAACTACTGTGTATCTTATGTGGCTTTTTAGATCAGCCAAAGAAGAAAGGAATTGAAGAGAAATTTGTAGTTGGTTTACAACACGCTGTTTTTGAGAGCTAGCTCTTCTTGATGGCTCTCTAAATTTAGAGGAAAATATGTAGCTACATAAAATATCCATACATGTACCTCCCTCACTGAAGGGATTTTTTTGTAACAACCCCCATCTCTCTGAAAACTCCAATAAAACTATATACATTGTTTTCTAATTTTTTGGTCTTCGAGAACTCTCACCCCCATGGAATTTCCAATCCCTTCAGTGAGTTGTTTAGAAATTTCCTGGAACTACACAAATGTTGATAAAAAAAATGATACAAACTATTCTGAAATCAGTGGATCTTGAGCATTGCAAAGGAAGGCACACACTCCACATCTGGTTAACAACTCCAAACAAACTTAAAGGAATTTCTCCTTTCCAGATGAGGAAGTTCTTGATTTTGTTTATCACCCTCTCTACATGTATCCTGAAACCAGCTATTTGTTGTGTTCATATCACATCTTCAGCAGACATTTGACTGTTTCTCCCAAGGAAAGGTGGAATGTACAATTTTACTCCAAGTGGCAAAATGTCTTGAATTTGAAATACTTTATCAGCCATGACGCTCTCACTATCCTCAAATTTCTGTGACAAAAAACCACTTCGAAGAACAATTTCACGATCTGAAATGCTACCAGTGTAAAGCTGACCAAATTCTTCACGGAGGAATGACAGGGGTGGCACAGGCCGTCCACATTTTCTAACTTTTTAAAGAACGGCAACAGACATTGAATCCCCATTACATTAACGTATATTTGGTATGGACCTCAATTGGTTTGCCTTGTATTTAAGGGACCTTTTTAATTAACAGCGGCGCTCAAGAAAGTCCACTTGTAGAAAATGAGTCTTTTGAGAGGATATTTAAGCCACGTAAGAGGATATTTGAGACCCAGTTAAAAAAACAAAGGGCACGGTAGATTCGTGTACCCATTGGGTACCTTTTTTTTCCTTATTTTTCACGTTACGTTATGTTAATTACAAAACATCGCAAATTTCGCACTGACCTAACGAAAAATCATGAAGTTCACCAAAAAATCGTAAATTTGGTAAGTTTTGTAACATCCGCAAGCGGGTGCTAGCTAATGAAATTAGCATAATTTTTTAACCCTTGTAGAGTTAAAAGAAAAATCGCAAGATTTGTTTAAATTGAAATTGAAACTATAAATCGTAAAATCTGTGAGATTTGTAGCTGCGTTCATTCCTGGACATAAGTGTTACCGGCGGGCAAATAAACGCTTATGCCAAAGAGCCAATATTAGGCACCTTAGCAGATAGGACGGCAACGCCAAGGAAGACATCGATTTAAAAATGAACACATATTTCTCGTTTGAATCTCGCGAATGACTGGATGTGTTTACCATCTCTTACGGCGCCACAAGTTAATTAACCTTGGCATAACGTATGAGAGCGGCATTGAGTTTCAAATTGAAACTTAAATAATTTGCCGTCGGGGTTACGCAAATTTGGATTTCACTTTGTTACTTTGCAGAGGACGGCTGAGAAATGTACACAGTCTTCAAACGCACGTGCTGCGCTATTGTTCTGCTTATTAGATCTTTTATTTTACTACGTCCCCCTTGCAGTTGCCGTTACCGTCGCTGTCGCCGTCGTAGTTTGCTAACAGGGACCTTTACCAAACCGCGACGGCGACGGTAACGAGGACGAGGCAAAACAAAAGATCTAATGAGCAGAACAATAGCTCAGCACGTGCGTTTTAAAACCGTGTGCATTTCTTCGTCGTCCTCTGCGACATAACAACGTGAAATCATCAAAATTTGCGTGGTCCAAGAAAGGAAACCCCGACGGCAAATTATTTAAGTTTCTATATTTGGAACTCAACGCTGCTCTCATACACTATGCTGAGGTTTACTTGTAGCGCCGTAAGAGATGGTGAACACATCCATTCAGTCGCGAAATTTCAACTAAAAATATCTATTCATTTTTAAATCGACGTCTTCCTCGGCGTCGCCGTCCTAACTGCTAAAAGTTCCTAATGCCTCTATTGACAGCCTACGCGCAGGCTAAGATACACTATAAGAAATAATAGAAATAGAACGGTCTTCCACAAGCATTTAAATAATCACAATAAACTATTACTGCAGAACAAATTTAATAACAAGGAATAAATAACTACCACTCAAATCCAGCAAGACTGGCAAACTACCTCGTCACATCAGGCTTGTATAAATTATGCCGGTAAAAATCCTACTGGTGGAAAAATCTAGCACAGATATAATTTTCAATTAATTACCTTCCTAACATCAAAATCACACACAACCGTTGAGGATTATAGAAGACAACCTCACTCTAAATAACTTAACTTCGATGACGCGCTCAGAAAGCGCATTTGGTCAAAAACACCTTAGATGTCTTGAACGCTTTTAGTCATAAAAGTCTTCTTTTATGGTTACGGTAAAACGAATTTAGTCGACCAAGTTTACGCTCATACAGTATTATCCTTGGAAGTGTAGTTTATAGCGGACGGAAAAACAAATGCAAAAGTGTAAAAACTGCTTTCAATCATGGCTGCTGTAACGTGTGGGATGTAGAATCACTTCGAGGCTTGGACTGGAGAACGCAATGATCTTGTAATTAAAATTTTTTGTTTTTCTTTTCCAAAGGAGATATCCTTAACCTAATGCAGTTAATGCGTATCAACACTGCTATCTATCTTTTCCCCCTTTTTTTGCGTTATGGTCAAGAAACCCCTCAGGAAAACCTCGACACAGTTTTCAAATTCGAAATTCAACTTTGAAATGCGAAAAAAAAAAAAAAATTCTAAAGCGAGAGTTCACCATCGGCTCCTCAGTCGTTAATAGTGAAGAGCAGCTCATTTGTCCACATCCCCGTGTAAACCATTTAATGACCTCTTGGATGATTCTGTTAAAAATAAATAAATAAATAATTAATAGATAAATAAAAAATAAACAGGTCATCATCATTGTCAGCAAAGAGATCCAATGCAGAGTGCAAGCCAATTACAAAAGAATTCAAACGTATATATTATTTGTGGAATAATAAAAAAATAGTTTATATGTAAAACTGACAAATCACCTGGCTCGCGCAAGGCCTCGGGATCACCTACAAGTTCTAAATAAAAAGAAAACCATAAAAAATTGTCAAAAGTGAGATAAGAAAGTCAAAGAATACGTAAACCTCACACTGAAGCTCGAATGAAATAAGAAAGAGTCTTAGTTGTCAAATCTACTATTTTTTATTTAACAGTAAATCGAAGTTCAACAGCCAGCCTTACTCTAACAGAGCAGTTCTGAAGTTGTTTGGGTTGACGGCACCACAAAGTGTGAGATTAAGGTAACTATTAACAGTAATACTCCATGAGCTAATAATCAAGCGCAAACTAATTTTCTATTTGTGGTTCGTTTCGTTCTATTTTCCTTTTAGCATTACCGTTCTGTGATTCTTTATTTTAACGCAACACAAAGGGGGAGATTAAAGCGAGTTTTCAAAGTGAAATACTTCGGGCTAACAGTTTTGCGCAAACAAATTTTCTTCCTGTAGTTCTTAACATAGATTCCGTATAAATATTTTGTTCCCTTCTTCTTTGAGCACTAACAAGAGCTACAAGTGTTACCTGGTAATCCGTCTAGATGTGCAAGGGCACCCGAGGAAGCCTC